ATCTCCGGCGAGAAGTTGGTGTATCAACTCTGAGGCCTTGAGTCAATCTATTGCAGTTCCTATGCACACAGCCAATTGCGCAAACGATGCAAGTGAGGACATCCCGACTAATGATTATCTACTATTCGCGATATCAACTAGAACAAACATCAATGGCTAAGGTAAGTTGGCAGTAAGGGGCTTTTCCACTCAAAGGCACTTTGTTACACTTGGCTTTTCTCGAGGACAGGTAAGCTGATTGCAGACAAGACGGCTGGTCTCGAGAGAGGATAAGCTTAACCTGCTGCTTGGAGACTCAGTGCCCCTAGTCAGGTCACGAAGACTGATGTCAGCATCTAACGACGGGTAAGCATGCAGCGCTCACTATTGTTCATGAGCGTCCAATGGCGACAACTCTATTCTGCGTGACAGCTTGACGGATTGACACTTGAGAGGATGACCCCGCCATTCCAGGAACCAACAGAGCTCAGGTAGACCAAGGGCAGATGTTTCCGAGCTTAAACCGCGTCATGGCCGCGTTCTAGGTCAATTGATCACAGCTAGTCTTATCGCTCGGGAATAGGAGACCGCGGAAGTACGGCAAACTTATCGAGGTTTCCCGACTGCCTCCCTCATCCCGTGGTGCCGGACCCGACCGCTAAGAAAGGAATCCCTGGTCGCCTTCCAGAAGCAGACGGCGGATCCCCGCAGCGGCAGATGGAGCCAAGATAACGCAAAGATGCTCAATTGGCCAATGCCGCAGTTCCGGAGCCGCGGTTGGGGGAAATGGGAGAGTCATTACGATTCGTGATGGTTGTGGGTGAACAGCCAACATGAGTGGACGAACGTGTAATCTGGGGAACTTTTCAAAGTCCCCAATGGCACTTTTTAAGAATCCTATCATCGGCTGACCACCGACCAGGGGCGAAATGATAAGCAGGAGAAGATGTCAAGGAGATTGTCGTACGCGTCGGGCGCATAGCGTATCGAACCATATCGCTTCCTCCCAGTCGATGCGACTCTGTGCCCTTCATACCTACATTAGTGTAACCAGCATCCGCCCTTCATAATAGCGACGATGCCGCGCCGGGCGCTACTTTCTTGGCACTCCTGGGCGTTTGCTTGTTTCCGCCGCCATCGCATCGTCGCAAACCCGAGCCTTCAACGAGATGGCTACCGACATCAGCCATACGCCGCCAGAGTATGCGGACCCTGAAAAGTCACTGGGGCAGGGAGAGAAGCTCAACATCAAGACGGCGCATAACCTCCACGGCCAGGACATCGAACTCGAAAATGGACATCTCGCGGAGTTGGAGGTTGATATGCAGCGGGTGCTCGACGAGGAGGGTGAGGGGGACTACGATGCCGATACGTCGCCTTTCCCCCAGGTCAGAGCCGTTGTGCCGGAGACGGACGATACTGCGATCCCCGTCAACACATTCCGAGCCTGGTTCCTTGGAATTGTATGCAATTGGCGATCCGACTCATAGAGGAACTCAATGCTAACTGACAGCAAAGGTCTTTGTCTTCCTTGGCGCCGGCGTGAACCAGTTCTTTTCATTGAGATACCCCGGTGTTCACATCGTATCTCTCGTCGCAGAACTGATTGCATTCCCCATCGGCGTCGCGCTCGCCAAGATTCTCCCCATCAGCCGTTTCAACCCCGACCGGCACTTCAACATCAAGGAGCATGCTCTCGTGACAATCATGTCCAACGTCTCGTTTGGCTTCGGCTCAGCTGATGCGACCAACCTCATTCAAGCAGCCAGGCTGTATGGCTTCTACATCCCGCCAGGATTCTCCGTGCTCGTTGTTCTGTGCTGCCAGCTTAGCGGATACGCCGTCGCAGGTCTCGCTATGCCGTGGCTCGTCAAGCCCGCCAGCATGATCTGGCCTGGTGTACTCAGCAATGTTGCCCTCCTCAGCTCGCTGCACTCTCGAGCCAACGCCATTGCTGACGGATGGAGAATCACCCGCATCAAGTTCTTCATGATTGTGGGTGGATGCGCTTTCGTCTGGTACTGGTTCCCGGGTCTCATCTTCACAGGCCTCAGCTACTTCACCTGGATCTGCTGGATTGCGCCAAACAACCTGGCGGTCAACCAAGTCTTTGGCATGGTCACTGGCATGGGCCTCTTCCCTCTGACTTTCGACTGGTCTATGATTGCGTACAATACGAACCCGCTTCTCAGTCCTCACTGGGCCGCGCTGAACGTCTTCTTTGGCTTTGCGTTCTTCTTCTGGATCATCACACCGGCGATCTACTACACCAACACCTGGTTCACCTCGTACATGCCATTCTGCACAGCCGACGTCTACGATCGATTCGGCAGCCTGTATAACGTGACGGAGGTTCTCACGAACAACGAATTCGATCAGCAAAAGTACTCTTCGTACTCTCCCCCGTATCTGCCAGCCACGTTCGCCTTTGTGTACGGCCTATCTTTTGCTTCAATCACGAGGTAGGTGTTAAGCCAAGTCGACTACCGAATTCTAGTCTAACTTTGTCACAATAGTGTTCTTTCCCATGTCTACTTCTTTCACTTCGATGAAATCGTGCATGCCATGAAGGGAACGCTGAAACTCGACATCCATGCGCGCCTGATGCAGTCATACAAGACTGTCAAGTGGTGGTGGTGGATGGTCATTCTACTGGTCGTCTTCGGCATGGCAGTCGGTACCGCAGAGGGCTACGACACTGGTCTCCCGTGGTGGGGAGTCATCCTCGCCTTCATCATTCCTGCAGTCTACATGGTCCCCTGCGGCATGATCCAGGGCGTCACGAACGTGGACGCCAACCAGCTGAACGTGCTGTCCGAGTTCATCGGAGGATATATGTTCCAGGGCAAACCGATTGCCAACATCCTCTTCAAGATCCTCAGCACGGATGTCGTTGGTCAAGGTCTATACTTCGCGGCCGATATGAAGCTCGGTCACTACCTCAAGATCCCGCCCACGACTCTCTTCTTTGCCCAAGGTCTTGCAACGATTCTTGGAGCATTGACCCAGACAGGTGTCACGCTTTGGATGCTTGGCAATGTTGACGGTATCTGCACCGAGGACCAACCCAATGGCTTCTCCTGCCCCAACGGTCGCACCGTTTTCTCGTCGTCGGTTATCTGGGGTCTCGTCGGGCCCGCTCGTCTCTACTCCGTTGGCGCCATCTACTCCGGTCTCTTGCACTTCTTCTGGATCGGACTTATCCTGCCGCCGATTACGTACTTCATCTTCAAGAAGACAAAGTCTGACTTCATTCGCAAGATCAATTGGCCGCTCATCTTTGTTGGAACCTACAACGTGCCTCCAGCCACGGGTATTAACTATTCTTCATGGTACATTGTCAACCATATCTTCAATAAGATCATCTACCGGAAGTTCTACGCCTGGTGGAGCAAGTACAACTACGTCCTCGCCGCGGCGCTGGACACTGGACTTGCCATCAGTGGTATCGTCATCTTCTTCGCAGTCACATACGGTAAGTCGGCACAGATAGCTCACTTGATCTTATCAAGGCACTTAAGACTAACATTGACGTAGGCCCTAATGCGCAATTCCCTGATTGGTGGGGAAACACCGTATGGAGTGAAACCGCTGATGGACAAGGCCTACCGTGGATGCAAATGCCGGATGTAGGCTACTTTGGACCTGCGAACGGAACATGGTCCTAGAGCAGGTTTGAAGAAGCAGTAATTGCATGCTTTACATTATAGTCTAATGACTTGTAGATAGAGGTGCTGGGCTCAGTTCGAACAGAGGCTGTCCATCCAGTAGGCCTTTGCCGAACATGCAGCTGAAGAGAACACAACGAACAATTTCACTCAGTCCAAGCGCGTCGATTCCTCCAGAATCCCTGACTATTGTGATAGCACCCCGAACGTGTTTTGAGGCCATGTGCATGTCACAGAGCATGATCTACAAAGCAAAGTTAGAACCCTTACTAAATTAACGTACTTCACAATACCAGGGAACTGGAAGTTATGTTGAAGTTTGCCTACCTCGTCGAATGACAACACCAATGCTTTCGCAACACCAGTTCGTCGCAATGATATATCGTCAGAGGACAGGGCACGACGCAGGTCGCTTATGTGCCTTAGTTTGAACTTGGCTGCCCAGTTTCCCCACTGCTCCCCATGAAAGAGGGATAAATGACGGCTGGCTGCGAGCAAGAACCCTTGCAAGAGGTCAATATCGGTAGAGCCACAAAGCAACCAGTTCCTCCGTATGTGATCGAAGTTTTCGCCGAGGTAGCACAAAATAGGACATTGCGAATCCATGTTGGGGACAATGACTTGACCATCTACGACCGTTAGTATCCAACACCCTTGCAGTGCCAATAGCTTCGCATGGCCGGGCCTTCAAAAGTAACATTGATGATGTAAATCGTGACTTACAGTAAAAGAATAGCATTTTCTCTTCGGCTGTGGAAGATTTTAGAAAGCTAGCCAACGGCTCATGCTCGAACGCGCCAGGTATTGTGCTAGGTATCGAAGGCTCAACCAGATGCTGTATTTCCACGACGTCTTGTTGTGGACGGCTCACTTGTTCTTCCTCTCGAGACCTCAATAAAATTGATCGACCACGACGGTTAACTTGGATGTCCGGGTCTTGATTGCCATGGCGGGCCACTTGACGTTTTCTTGACCGTGCATGGGTCACTCGTGCTGCGTGAGCGTGAGCCTGTTTCTTCAAGCGGGCGGACCTTCTCTGGTTAGGATGTACTATGACGATGAACTCCATGCTGGCAAGCGCAACAAATGTCAAATAAAGTCTTTGACAGCGAAATCATTTGCTTCGAGGATATGTCTTCTTATTCACTTCCATATTATCGTAAAAAGAACAAGATATAGCTGTCGTACAACACTCAATAGGCAACTTCGAATAAGCGATACCATTTGTCAGCGGTGATGTTAACGGCTTTGATATATGCAGTCAGCATTGCCAAGGTCTACTCCTACTCCATTGAGCTTAGCCGTTGATACTAGTCCGGAAGAAGCTACCTCAATGCTTTAGAGCATCGTAGACTACATGTGGTACGGGATTTTGTCGACAATCTGCTCGTGCAACTCCTCGAGAGCAGACACCACATCCTCTGGAAGCGGTCCTTGTTCGATCATGTCGAGATTGGTCTCCAGCTGCTCCGGGCTCGAGGCTCCAATAATTACCGAGTCTTCGTACTCCTTGCTGAGGATGCTGTGATATACCGTCCACCGAAGTGCCGCAGCATGGCCGCCGATTCCGTGCTTAGACGCGACATCAATCGCCTTCTCCGTCGCCGTCATGATGGATTCTTTGACATAGAATTTTGCATATATGCTACCCACAGGAATCTTGGATGTCACAGAACACTTGGTCAGTCTCTCGTATTTTAATAGGCACGAGGAGAAAAGTCTTACCGATGTATCATATCGCCCACCCGCTTTAACCTTCTTATGATTGCCTGCAAAAAATCCAGCTGCGGCGGGGCTGTATCCGTAGAAGGCAATGTTATTCTTGCGCAATACGGGAAACAAATCGTTCTCTCCGCCTCGCACGAGCGGATTGTAATGGCCCTGGTACACACTGGGTTTGACGAGGCCGCGTTCCTGGCAGATGTCGACAAACCGCTGAACCTCTGCAGCGGAGTAGTTTGAGATACCCCATTTCTTGATCTTGCCTTCCCCAATCGCCTGATTCATGGCCTCACATGCTTCTTCAAATGGTGTCGTTCGGTCGGGCACGTGTAGATACTCAATGTTGATCTGCTTGATTTTCAGCGCTTTGAGAGATTCGTCAATCTCCTTCAAAATTTTGTCCTTAGTGTGACATCCCGGCGATCTGGACGTGACCTTGGTGTCGATGGTGAAGCGCTCGCCGGCATTGGCGGCGCCGAGTCTGGGCTCCGAGCTTGTGGGTGCCTGGGGTGAGTACATGCGCGAGGTATCAAGCTGCTTGTACCCGCGTCGAGCGAAGACGTCCAGGAATGCGTTCACTTGGTCGGGTGTGTCGTAGCGTGCCATGGGATCAGTAGATGAGTCTCCGACCTGTGAACATTAGCTTTGCCAAAAGTAACACACATCTCTCGCACTCGGTCGGTCAGCTTACGTTTGCGACGCCCAACACGAGGTTGACTGGCTGATTAGAGGCGGACGACATTCTGATCGTTGGAATCTGACGGCAAAGCGGGGAGAGGCTGGCAAATATGAGATGATACAATTTGTGTTAGTATTGACATACCACTGAGCAAGCAGGTAGAAAAGTCTTGATGGAAAGCATTCTGGCTTTTATGGTTTCAAGGTCCAAATACGTTGTCAGAATGATCAGATGCTTCGGACAATGCGCCGAGAGCTACTCCTACTTATTCGGGCAACTGCAACTATGAGCTCATTACTAAGACAGGCATCAATTCGTCAGCACGACAAAGCTTACACTATGGCCCTGCATCCGGGACAACCTACTTGGGTAATACGCTACCTTATGTGACGCTTTGACAACTGAATTTTCAGATGGTCGGAGTTTCACGCCGAGTCCGACGGACTTGACGCACTTGTTGCAAGTGATTAAGCTTGATCAGCTTGAAATCACGATAGTAGTAGGAGGTTTATCAGTTCAGGTAGCTTCAGCTCGTTTACGTTTCCAATTACGACCCTCTGCTATTAGGCTATAGCAGCAAGCTTCAAGAGGAAAGACTCAACAACGATATCACTTACATATGTAGACGGCGGCATTTTTGAAGAAGGGGAACTTCGGCTTTCCTGAGCGACTTTCCCTCTACGGCTTATCCCCGTTTCTCTGTTATTTGAGCCACTTCCGAGTTCAAGATGTGCAAGACAGCCCAACTCTGAGCGGGACCTTAGAATAACTGTCACGTGTAACGCTTCAAGGAGAAGCCGCAACATGGGCTCGGCCGCACCAATAGGGATGTTGTCTTGGGGCGTTTCAGATGAACGATCAGGTGCAGCATCATATCTTCCGCGAGTCTATTTAGAAGCTCGAACAAGGGATCTTGGACATGTACATTGGCAATATATGGTGGGCCTTTAGCTGTCAGGAAATGCTTGGCCGTCAACCCTGACGCGTTTCTGCCAGGATGTGGGGAAGTTGAGCCTTTTTGAAAGTCCAATGGCAATTGTCGTTGGCCAAGAAGAATAGATGATGGCGCCGGCGAGCTGGGCGAACGTCGGCGTACACCCGGAAAGCCGACGGGGTCCCAATCTATGTTCACAAAATCTGGCGAGAAAGTGCCACGCCTCGGCCTTTTTGTCTCGTCTGATCCCGACTTATATCTGTAGCCTGTGATAGCCTTGTTTTTTTATCATCAAGTTAGATTTTGGAAGGTCGTAATCCTGGACAAGACGACCAAGGGCCTTGGTCGGCTTATCCCAACCAATTCAGTCTCCTATCACAGGGCTATGCTTACACGCGCAAAGAAGTCTGACTGGCTTTTCAACTGCTTGGCTAAGGGTATAAGAGGGCATCATATTGAGAGTGTCCCCCCGATGCATCCATAAACCACTTCCGCATCCTTCAGCCCAAGTCAAACCATCCCTGGTAAGCATGGTCAACTTCAGGAAGAAAGTCTACAGTCTCTTCGCGCCGACTGCCGACAAAGGCGAAGACGGCCGTGATGTTTGAGAATCTCGAATACTTCTCATCATCGCCGCGATGGAGGGGCAATCGGTCTCGGTAACCTCTTGCGATTCCCCTCAATCGTGTTCAACAATCACGCCCTCCAATTTTTCCATTCCCTAAGGTACCTTATTTCACTCCGCTATCTGGCCATACCAAGTTGCCTCCTGAAATCAGCATCAGGTGAGCGTACAGAGGAGGCTGCGCCCTTGCATGGCATCATGCCAACAAGCGTGCTAAGGGTGTCGGATTCGGCGTCGTCTACATCGGCTACGCGATTATTATCTTCTATGTTCCGATAATCGCCTGGATAATGATATACTTCCAGTACTCTTTCCGCAACCCACTCCGATGGGAAGGACTAATAAGTTCTTCGAAAGAAAGAATGCGGACCCCATCGCCTGAAACTTGACGGCAGCTGGTAGCGCAGTCCAAGATTACACGGCTTATCGGCGTGCTCTTTTTCCCATCTTCTTCATTCTTGAGCTCGGATCAGCATTTGCACTCATGCAGACTTTGGTCTACAATTCAGACTGGGGCAATGAGGTCTCTCGGTCTTTCGTGTCGTCCGTCGTAGCCATTGCCTCCTTCCACGTTTCTTTACCAAGTGTGTGCTACTACGCTCTACCGCTACCGCGAGGTTGTTGATTGTTGTGGCCTTCTACCTTGATGCTTGCATAACATCTTTGGCTACGCTGGAGGCACTATGGTGGGCTTCGTTATCGCCCATGCGATGTCTTCAAAGCCGGTGCAGGTGTGGTTTTGGGAATGTTTATCGTCGGCATAACCTCTTCCGTGGTGTCTTCTTCCGACCCTCCAGGCTACACAGCTAAATCCTTTTTGAAGAAAATTTATTACAAAAGCTTTTGGTATCTGACATCCTACCCAGTGCGTACCCGTGTTCGGTTATTCCCTCCAAAGCATTCCCTCTCTTTCTCACACACAATTCCAGGGTAATCAACTGCGCCGAGATCTGAATGCCATCATATCCATCGGAGGTTAGTGGAAGATCTCGGTTATTTGGGGATTTGTTCTCAAGTATAACACGGCGCCGATTGTGGCGATCATATTCTCTTTTCCCTACCCTAACTTCTATGCCAAGAACCGAATGGATCCGCTGCACATTGCTGGGTTTGCCCTTTAGCACATTGTTCTTATCCGTTCCCTCGTTCCGCTAATCATGTCCCACTGGTTCAACGTTCTCGTTCCCAATCTCAAGAAACTCGGAGGCCACTATCCCGTCATGCCTAGCATTCGCTTTTTGAGAGCCAACGCAGAAGGAACACTAGATATTGATGGGATGCCACACAACGCCCATGGCATGACCCTTAAGGCGCAAAGATTTGGCAGTCGAAGAAACCTGACGCATCAGAGATCTGAGAGATGCTCGTCCAAGAGAAAGATCACCGACAAGCGCCAGTAAGACCAGCATGTACATGTGCCTTTGGATATTGAGTAAAGACCTATTGACACAGGTGAACGAGCGAGTACAATTGAAAATCTGCGTCATAATCCGCGCGGGCACGAGCCACTGCATTCGTGCCTCTATAGGAAGGTGATGAAGACAATGAACGATTCGCGGGTTGGTAGTCCTTGGCATCAGCACCCTAGATGTGTCCACGTACTTCTGAAACGTAAGGAGGAGCGCCTTGAAAGACTAAGTCTCGGCAGGTGTGAATCTTGCTTTTAAGGGATTGGCCGCAGTGAGAATACGTGTTTTTCCTTGAAGGGTGCTGCAATAGGGTAGAATCAAAGAGGTTGGTGGCCAGTCGATACGGGCTCTCCGCAATAACACCCCTGCAAGCCAAGACCCCAATGCCGAAAAAGGATGGTGGTTTGTACACCGACGATTATGAACGAATGACGGACGTCCTGTCAGGAGGAGTTGATCGCCGGTGGTGTTACCGGCTCGTGACTTCATAAGAGCTCGAGCGCGCTGGGCTGACCGTGGGACTCGCTTCTTCTCTCATCAAATTACTTTCAGTTTCTGTCCGTAAGATCATCATAATACAACATTTTACCCATTTTTGATAGGCAAGGTTAAGAAGAACCAAGATGAAGGTGACCAGCCAAGTAGCAACGCTCTTTTTCGTGTATGAATCTGTCAACCGTTGGCACAGAGACTTATTGCTAACATTGATAGCGCGGCACCGATTGTTGCCCAGACAAGCTCAGAGTCGTTTCTTTACTCGATCCTACCAACTGATTCATTGACTCCTCTGCCTACCCCGGTGCCGCTTCCTACCGTGGTGGAAGATGGGTGTCCCACGGCAACAGAGCTATCACTGTGTCCTAGTTGCACCGGGGAGGCACCGCAATGCGTGACCGTGTCGACTCTGACGCAGTCATGCGGCTGCCCAAGTGCAGCGGCAACAGAGACCTTCACATTTGGTTGCGACAGGAGTGCCTGCCCTAGGGTGGGCTGCAGCACCAGCTACACCATTGTCTCTGGCGAGGAGGCATGCACTGGTAGTGTAAGCGTGTCTGCCACAGCCGCGACGACCGACGTGGTTACGGTCACGACGACGAACCAAGCGACTACGGCCGCTACTGGCTCACAAGCCAGCACGGCATCAGGTGCTTCGGGCTCTTCGGCTTCTGCTAGTGCGACGCCGAATGCGGCTGGAAGACTGGCAATTCCATTCAAGTTTTGGTGATACGCACTCGACCATGGGCCAGTCTGGGATGAGATGTACCAAAAACGGGTGGGTCAACAAATACCCACAGCCTCTGTGTAGAATGATATTAGTAGCTTGAAACCCCAATCGTTGTTTCTTGTTGCCCAATCTCTGCATGTCAAGTGTATATCCGCGTGCTTGGTAGTCATCTGGTTGGTACTCAAGTTGCAGTCCACGTCTCAGGCGTCCATGATTCCGGGCTGAAATCTGGCCAATAAAGTCCCTGAGCCCCATCATTATAGATCGACGCATCTATAAACTGTAAGTCGAGGAGTGGCTGGGCCAGGAGCTCCTGTAACGACGGCTCGTTGAGCGCCATACCAGCGGTTGTGTTTTGCTCTGCGAAAGGTTGGTTGAGGTTGACTGCAGCATCCGTGAAAGCCGCTGTTGTGTCGTTCAGCAAAGCCGCCGAGTCTCCCGCCCCGGCGAAATCACCACGGCGCACATGAGCTGCGGCCATTGTAAGCTTCATAGCGTCGATATGATGGCAGAACTCCTCAGCTGCATAGTTGCCATTATCTTTCAGCTGAGACAAGAACTGAGCTGCTTCTTCAAATTGTTCTCTGTCATTGTGACTCTCTTTGCCGCTCAGAAGGCTAGATGCAGCGAGGATGGTGGCGGCTGAGAAGAGATACTGCGTGTAGAAGTAGTCAAACGTTGCAAAAGACCCGTCGATCCAGCATTCTGTCAGCAGTCGGCAGGTGTGACGAGCGCAACGTATGCAAGTTTCTGCGAGAGTCATGGCGGTGGCCGGAACTCGTGGTTCTGGGGTCTCTGGTGTTCCCCAAGATGCGACATGCGTTCGCAGCACATGGAGCAGAATCGGGCGGGTGGTGCTGATAGCGCACTTGAATCAAAATTAGCTTTGTCATACCCCATCTGGCAGTCGCGCTTCATTGCTTGCCTGATTAAAGTTGAGATGTAGCGAGATGGGCTTTGGCATGCGTTCCGATGTAGGCTTCGAGTCAATGTGAAGCTGTGGAGGGAGCTCTGCAGACCACCCACGAAGATCCTTCAACGCCTCTTGAACTCTATGGGATAAGGAGGTGTCTTGCAGCCTTCTTCGATAGATGGATGGCACAACCTTTCCCAGTAGGCCAGCGAGCTTTACACTAGCAACAAAATATGATGCATCGGCAAAGTCATCCGCTATATTATCGTCGACAACCGGATTCGATGGCAGGTCCACCTCGATATCGATGTCTTGGACGGCTACTGGATGGCTTAACTTGGCTGCCCACATCCTGTCGAAGATGTATGCTGTCCACCAAACTCTGACCCTATGCTCTCGAGCGGCCGCATCTCTGAGCTGCGTCTCAGGAACATTGAGATGAAGGCCCATGACAACAGCGAGCCTGGTCGCGGAGCCGGCAAAAGTGTAGGCGGTATGTCGCCGGTTGAGCGCAAGAGAGTAGAAAGACTGTCAAAACTTCAGAGGCGATCGAAAACATTTATTTATCAAAGCCATCTTACCAGCAACAATCTCAACTCGACAACATCGATCCTCGGCCGTTCGCTGACGATGCGGAGGATGCGAGTTGCCCGTGCAAAGTAGCCCATGCCGGGGAAGTGCTTTTCCGACGTGGCAGATCGGGTCGAGTACATGGCGCCGATAGCAAACATCGCCCACAGCTTACTCTTGAGAAGCGAATCACTTTCAGCCGGGTTCTGGAGGGTCTGTTCCAAGGCATCCAGAATCGAGCTCTTGCGAATGATGTGGTAGCAACGGCTGACATATCTCAGGGCAACCCCGACGAGAAAACGTGCTCTTGCCGGACTAGGCCAAGGGCAGTCTGTATCAGATAGAGCGAGCAGCCTCTCATCTGTGGCATAGTTCACCCGCGGGATGTGACTACTCTCAGCTGATGAGATTGCTTGGCGGAAGCGGGTAGCGAATGCGGCGTCCGAGGCCTCACCGATGAGAATCGGCGTGTGTGGAATATTCATGTCGAAGAACCATGGTCGTTCATCAAGCGATGGCGCTGGGATGGCAGTTGCATTAGTGTCTGTTGTCTCTTTTACCGGAGCAACAACTGCGAGATCTGGGAGCAGGTTGGCTGCTCGAGATTGACTTCCAATGCCGCTGTTGCTCTTCAATCGTTGGTTTTCAGCAATAAGGTCATCGATATAACTATGGGAAATCGAGTTAGCTCGATACACCAGTCGCTCTTGGAATCGCGGGTCCGAGGTATGAATATCTCTGGTTCTAACATACCGCTGGCTGACTTTTACCATGCGGTTCCGCCGAGGATATGTGCATTCCACACCCTTGCTTGCTTGGCGACAATTCTCACATGGTTGCCCGCCGGAACACCTCACTTTGCGCGAGTGACACCTACGGCAACTAGTATGGCGGAATCGCCGTTGTTAACCAACTGGAAACCTTCCGCAGCTTTGCGGCGCGACAAGTTTTAATACTCACGCGGTAGGTTTGGTCTTTGGTCGGGATGAAGCCGATGAGGATACCGGAGCGGATCTCAAAGCGACCCTGTCCTCCGCACTGGACGCGTCGCCTTCCGATGTCATGGTGGTCAATCGATATGTCGGATTAGGATACTGCCCTCGTGAGGTCCGATTGAATGCTTTCGGGAAACAGGTAGGGATACCGAGAGCCTCAAGGGATATTTGAAGATACCCCTTCACCTTTCAAAGTTGCTGCGGCTTGTGACGTATTCCTAGAATGCTACCGCTGCGTGATACCTAGTCATCAGCACTAGTTTGGTAAAGGTTTCTTTGTTGTCACAGCTAGACGTTTGGGGGAGAAAGCTTTAGCCCAGCCGAGATAGTTCGGCATAAATCGCGCAATACGCCGATAAAATACTGTGATTTCTCCACATTATCGGCATAATGTTGATTTGGCCGAGCTTTATGTCACGATCTTTACCCCACAAACAGTCCAGGGGCTTAACCATCTCTAGTCGGCTTCATGTCATATTGCCGACTCCTCAGACCAAGCAACCAACCACTGGCGCCCTATTTCACTCGCATTTCCGTCACAAGTCCGGGCTGGTCTTGATCACGTCGCCTATGCGTGCATCACGTCGCCCTACGAGGCCCACTTTATGAAATATTTGAGTCAGAGAAGGTGTAGTGAAAAAATGGAAGAAAATTCGCCTGCCGAAGGCGTGCCTCCGACCGGCGGAGAGCTGCAGGAGTTCTCGACTATATACATTCGGAGGACTCCCCGAGGCAGTATTCATCCTCTGACGATACTTTAGCTTAGAGATCGGCTTACTTTCCATTCTTTAATGTGATTTCCTCGCAATGGGTTCCCCAGATGTCGAAAAGCCGGACGGCTTGACCGCCGCTGTCAAGATCCCTCAACTAAGCCCCGATCCGCTTACCGGCCCCATTCCGGCGGCGGCAGCCCCTCTTCGACCCGTGGCTGCAGCAGATGACGAGGTGATGGAGATGCCAACATGGAAGAAATGGGTAACGCTTGCGGTGGTTTGCTGGATGGCCCTGCCCGTCACCTTCTCTGGTAGCTCCATCTTGACAGCGACTTCCGAGGTTGCTGCCGACTTCAACGTCTCAACGCATGCCATTACCACAGCTAATGCTGGCGTCTTCATTGCCATGGCTATGTCTGCCTTGATATGGCTACCGACGAGTAATATCCTTGGTCGCAGAACAACTTATCTCGTAGCCAACTGCCTCTTGACCTTGTGTTCGATAGGATCGGCGCTCTCAAATAGCTTTGCCTGCTTCACAGCGATTTGGGTCATCGGAGGAACAACTGGTCCATTCTTCCTCGTTGCAGGGCAAACCATCTTGGCAGATATCTTTGAGCCTGTAAGTCGGATATTGTGCCACTTCTGTTTATCATATTGAGCCTGACTGCTGGTTAGACAACTCGCGGAACTGCAGTGGGTTGTTTCTTGGGCAGCTGTGTGGCGGCAAACGCAATTGGTACGTTGGTTGACTACCTTACTCCAGCATTGTGCCCAGGAGTCTTTCGACTGACGAGCTTTCAGCGCCGCTGACGGGAGCCGTCATCGTGACCTTCACCAGTTGGCGAGTCATCTATGGGGTCCAGGCTGGCATGACCTTTCTCGGTCTCATCATGGCCTTCTTCTTCGTGCCAAAAGCGAGCCAGCTGGCGCATCTCAAAATCGCCGTAGCAGAGAGAGCTCCTATTCGGTCTTTGGGTGACTTGGCCCACGCGTTCAATCCGATGGGCGTTCTCCGCCAGTTCAAGTATCCCAACATCGTTGCGGCGGTGAGTTGCTCTTCCCCCAACCCGATTCTAGCTCGTAATCTTATCCATCTCGCAGAATTTCGCCTGTGGACTCCTGGGATTCAACCAGTACGGCCTTTTGAGTTCCATACGACGAGTCATCAACCCTCGGTTCGGCCTTACTACGCCTCTTATCAGTGGACTTTTCTATCTTGCCCCCGGAGCGGGCTTTCTAATGGGAAGCACGATCGGCGGCAGAGTCTCAGACCACACCGTTAAGCGATACATCCGGAAGCGTAATGGTCTCCGTTTGCCCCAGGATAGACTCAAGAGCAGCTTGCCAGCAATTTTCTTCGTTCTCCCTGCCGGTACTCTGATTTACGGGTGGAGCGTGCAAAAGGAAGTCGGCGGAATCGCTTTGCCCATCGTCAGCTGCTTCTTTGAGGGTCTCGGCCTCATGTGGTCTTTTAGCGGTCTGAACACATACTCCGCCGGTGAGCCCTCCCTGCCATCTTGTTGCGTCTTCGACGGTTCGACCTGGACTAATACATTGCATCAGAGGCAATGCCGGAACGCAGGACAGCTGTCATCAGTAGTAAATACATCGTTCAGTACAGCTTCGGAGCTGGCAGCGTGGGCGGTCTGGTGCCAATGATCGACGCCATTGGGGTCGGCTGGTCTTTCACCATCAGTAAGTCTTTTGAGATGATTCTTATTCTTTTGCTCGCATATTGACCTCACCTAAGCCGCAACCTCTGCACTCCTCGCCGGCGTTTTGGTCCTGGGTATTTCCAAATTTGCATCGAAGGCTCAAAATTGGGTGGAGAAAAGCAACAGTGACGATTCAGAATAGTGCCAAGAATGCACTCAAGATTTACGGGCTCAAGAGCTATCTATATGCATAGCATGCGGTATTTGTTGGCGCATGATTTGTTCTATGGTTTTTTGTCAGCCCAGCCTAATCTGGGGCGTCTCTCGTCCCCGTGTCAATCTCATCATATACCTCGTTCGGAAAGTTGACGACCAGGCTCTACTCCAGGACGAATGATATTGCCAATGCCTGGGAGCCAAGCCGGCTTGGCCGGGTTGATCAATCGTGATCTCGGAGACCAACACAACGTCTCAGAATCCATGGATGCCTAGCCACCCCTTGCGCCCGCTGTCTTATGAGCTGCATGCATCCTTCAAAGCTCACTGGTCGATAATTCGAATAGCCAATGAGTTGAAATGAAGGCCCCGATGCAGTTACACAGCGGTCACATTGAGGCACTGCCACCTAAGCAGTCCTACGGCTCGGTCTGACGAGCTCACCACGAGACCAGGGACCTTCCGTGTTGCTTACTTTTGTCCAACTTCCAAGCTCCTTCAGGGCATTTGCAGTCAACGTTGAACCGCCATTCTCCCTCCTTGGAAGCTTCAGTCTCTCTACCAGTTCCAGATCAATACTCCTAACCAGTCCAAAAATTGCAGAATGGAGAACATTTCTACAGCGGTAGCAACCGTGGGGAAACTGAAACCTGAGATTCGTCTGGCTCAAACCATCTCAGAATTCAGCGTTTCTCTCAAGCGCCATCAAGATGACTCTCACATCCGCTTCAAGAACTTGCAGACAAGAAGTCCACCAACCGCCATGGGAGTTTTGCAATTAACAGAAGAGATCAATCGAGATGGGGCTCACCGTCACCGGTCTTGGAGGCCCAACGCCACCCGTCTCGTCACTGTCTTGGAGAGAATTCGTCAATTCGCCCCTATTGGCGACGTCCTTGTTGGAGGCGCCCAAAACCTCTTGGCGTCTGGGGTTTGGGCCACGGTCAGGATGACTCTGGAGGTATGTTCGTCAAGCCTTTTTCTGAACTAAGTCGTTGCAAGTTGTCATTCCGATACTTAGGATAGCTGACGAGAGCTATAGATATCACTGAGCTTCCTGTCATATTTCGACAAAGTTTCAACTCTTCTGATGAGGATTGGTAAATCGTCTTCTCTCCACAAGGATTTCGCCTTGCTTTTTCCCACCTGTCGCCAGACTCAGGCGTACATGTGCGAGTATGTCATTGTTTTCATCAAAATATGCAAAAAGATCACCATCGACGCCCATAAATCATTTGCGGCTCACCTCGCAACGTCTTTCACTTCCACCTTCGACTCGGTCTTCAAACCACTGGAAGACGACTTGCGATCATGGGGTCAGTTGATTGAAAATCGCGTAGCAGTACTCGTTGCAAAGGCCAATGTTGAAAGCAACTCATCTTCTATTGAGAGATTCAGCCGGTTCCAGGTTATGATTTCCCGCGATGCCGCTCATCGGGACCGAGAAACGCGTGCGCATCGACTTTTTGAAGCCTTGGCTCCCAATCAGAAGGAGTTCGAGTCCATTTGGACGAGGGAGCGAAAGAAGGGGACCTCTAGTTGGATCCTAATCGACAAGAGCTACCAAGAGTGGCTGGGCACAAAGACTTCAGCAACGTTGTGGCTGCAGGGTAATTTGGGGTCTGGAAAGACTGTCACCATGGCCTCCGTGGTGGCAGATTGTTTGATCGCACATAAAAATCCTGCTGAGAGTCAGTCAGCCACTTTCCTTGTCGTTTACATCTCACGGTCTCTTCACATGGTTTGGTCCGATTGAACTGTCAATTTCTTATTCTCGAAGAAGCTGACCAGCCACAAAGCTCTAGCTACGACAGATCCAAGGAGACTCCAATCTGTAGCATTTTTCTTTTGCAAAAACAGCAATCAAACAACCTTGCAAGACCACAATATCCTCGGCAGCATTGTACATCAAGTTTTGAGAAATTCGTCTCTGGCCCGATTCCTGGACAACTTTTTAGACGAACACGAAATGAAGCATCAAGTATTCCATGCCGAGTTTTGTATTGACCTCTTGCTCTCCATAACACCACCAGTCTGGCAATGTATACTGGTCCTGGATGGCTTGGACGAAGCTCCTCTGGAAGAGGTGGAATCAGTTTTCGGTCAACTTCATCGACTTATGCAATTCAGACGAGTCAAACTGTGTTGCTCTTCCCGACCCACATCTAGATGCAAATCCGTTGCAGCGTCGTCAATTGGTATCACCCAAACTATTTCTTTCGAAAGTGTCGACAGATCCGAAGACCTGGAAAGTTACATATCGGCCGAGGTCGAAAACTGGAAGCTCATCAGGTCAATATCAAGCAGGCTCGAACAGCTGGTCAAGGAACAGCTACTAGTGCGTTCTCAGGGCATGTTTCTGTGGCTCTCACTGCAGATTGAGGCCATTTGCCCCAAGTACACTCGAGAACTTCGTTCTGAGTCTGAAATTCTCGACATCATCAACAATCTTCCCCGAAATCTTCCACAGGCGTTTGATCAAGCAATTTTAAGAACCCCGGACATGAAGTACGGATCGCGAGTTTTCCAGCTTATCGCGTCAGCAGACCCATGCCTTTCACTGGATGAGCTTCGTGTGGCTCTGAACGTCCAACCCGGATCCTCGATCTGGAGTTCCTCAACTCTGCATCCCTCCGGATTCACTTTGGCCTCGACATATGGTGGCAGCCTATTGGAGATTGATGAGGAGGACTCATGTATCAGGTTCATTCATCACAGTGTCCTGTTACACCTCGTTCAAGCCCCGGCGTTGCCTGCAGCTTCTCCTTACCACTTTCATCTGCATCAAGCAGAGTTTGAACTCGGTGCCATCTGTGTCACTTATCTCAACTATGGGGTATTCGAGAATAGCATGTCACATGCCCAGAATGTTTCGTTTGACAAGATTCCTGGTACTGTGGCAAACTCGATCTTAAGTCCAAATGCCCTGACAAGAAGACTCATTTCCCTTATGTCCCTCGACAGGCGAGCTAGAGCTTCCAACGTAGATCTAGAGCGATTGAACTATGACCTACACCAGTATCGATCAGAAATCCAAGACGACATCCATCTGTTCCTCCCTTATGCCAGCAAACACTGGCTCAGACTTACCAAGTGTTTCTCCGAGGCTATCGACCCATTGATTTATTCACTCTGGGAGAATTTGGTGTCCGGTTCTGTATCGTCCGCATCATCCAGCCTCCCTTGGTCTCCAGGCTCCGTGGCCAGTGCAACGAAATGGTCCCTCTACAACCGTCACGGACCATTGTTCCGACATCTATTGGGTAGCTCCGACGCCGTCGTCGTCAAGGAAGTCCTTCGGATTACACTCACAGTGATCAAACAGTATAAAGTGGACCTGGAAACATCAACAGCGGAGGCCTACCCCATAATCTCAAGACTAAATGAACTACACCACCACTACCTACGCCACGAGTTCTTCCTATCGGGAGAAGACGCTGGGCTCCTGGTCCCCACGTACCTACTACATATGGGTCTCGATGTAACAGTGCTCAATTCTTTAGTCGAAATGGAATGCCTGCCTTTTGGCACCGGCGATAAATATTGCCAGTTTAAAGACCCAGTTGCCGTCGAAATGGCTCTCAGTACCATCGCCCGACATGGGATACCAAGAGTTCTACTTTTCCTTCAACAAGAAAGTCAAGAGGAAGCGGAAAGGGACAGATGCATCAAATCTGCGCTACTTCTTGCGCACTATCTTCCCAGCATTGATACTACCCTTAGCAATGGTTCCACCATTTTACATACCGCTATCAAGTATGGATTTGAGGACCTTGCAGAAACACTGCTCAAAGACCGAGGAGCAGATCCAGACGGCGCCCGTCTCCAGGGCATCTCCAGCCCCTTGCAGCTGTGTCTTCAAAAGAAGTTCAGGCACCTAGCTGTAATACTGACCCAAATGGGGGCTGACATCATCGCGACGCCAGACAACGGCCTTCCTCCATTCTTTCTAGCCATGGGTTTACGTGATTTGCGGCTTTTTGATGCAATGTGGCACGGAAATCCCCATCGATCATCGCGCCAATACGGTCCAAAGAAAGAAACAGCGTTCCAATTTGCGTGCAGGGTCTACTGCGATCCGATTAGCAAAGACTATCCAGACATCTCAGATGCTCTCGATAACATCCTCGCCAAGGACCCCGACGTGAACCGTCCCAACGGTGACGGTGAAACCCCGCTGATGATCACTGCCATGACGGGCAATCTTGAGTTGATGGTACGACTCTTAGATCAAGGGGCGGATCCAACACTTGCGGGTGTTAATGGGGCAACGCCTCTTCATCTGGCAGTGGGGGATACAGTTGCAAAGCTGCTTGAGGTTGGTGTTGACCCGAACAAGGTGACGCCTGATGGCGTATCACCGCTCATGGTGGCCTCACTCCTAGGCGACATTGCTGCTGTCAAGATCCTCATTCACGGTGGTGCGCTGCGTTTCCAGGCTGTCGCTGGTGCGGGGCCTCTGTCAGAGGGTGGAAAGGCACTCTTCAGAATGTCAAAGAGATACCCGAGATTCTACGACGCGGAAAGCTCTACTCGCAATGCAACAATAGACAAGATCGAGGCAGGTGATACAGCCCTCTCACTCGCCATAGCTCGGCTGGAGTTTATGACTGGCGATAAGGAGCAAATCAGTCGTCTACGTCAGATTGTGAAGGACACTGTCAATAAGGATTCCCAGAACAAAGTCAGGGCAAAGGTCACGCATATCACGGAACGATGGGATGACTTCGAGACGATTGTGCTTGAATTGCTCTCACGGAAGCATGGCGCAGTGCTTTGGCCAGAGAGGGAAGCTATCACGCGCCGGTACCGACACACACATTGCTGGCAAACAATCTTAGTCGCGACCCGTTGAGTGGTTGAAGCTAGAATCAAAGAGCGTGGAATTGAAGATTTGGAAGGAATTCCTTTGGAATGAAGCTGGCTAGCCATCTTCGTAATTACTCAAATCGAATCTGAGTACCATATTCGAAGCGTCAGCGAAGGTAGCAACGACTGGTAAACCACGATTCCTTCACCAATTTTTCGCTGCCGCCATAAGCGGTCTGATCGCAGCCAGAGATGCGAATCTAGCAATCCCATATCGCCGTATATAGTTCATGTTTAGATCATGACTTCTGTCCTGATGAAAGCTCATGTTGCACCTTCTGATACAGCTGTTTTGATTCAAGTCAACATTTGTAGACGTATATCATGAGCCGAATTGCGCCAGAAAGACATTGAGACTTACAAGTCCCAATGGACAAAACCGCCCTGAGAATAATCTTGCCTGCAAAGCTCCATACAGAGAGCATAGAGGTTTGTTTCCGTCGGAGCAAATTCATCATCATCGTCGTTTCGTGAAGCCAGATCTTCTGTGACAGAATCTTTATGAATTTGATACATAACGCTTTTCCGTGAAGTGTCAGATACTGAAGTAATTAGTGTTCGATGTTTGGTCTGATTTTACCTTGCAGGGGCTACCCAATCATTCCCCTCGGCTCCATCATATTTCAGGCTATCCTCGACAAGAACTGAGCGTTTCTCGGGAGGACTTGTCATCGGCTGTGAAACACCCCTGGAGGTGTCATCGATCTCGCCAGCATTCTTTACAAGCACAGCACAGAAAGAAAAGGCGGCCCAGGAAGCGAGCACGAGGAGGTGGGAAAGTGATAATGCCCTCATTTTTGACGGAGTAGCCAAAGTCTTTGAGGAGGATTGGAATGGTGATCAAGAGCCGAGAATAGCGTTCGCTTGAATAGGAGCCTAGCCCATGTTTTACTACGCGGGAACTGAGCAGATTTAAATACTAGAAGAGAGTTCTATCTGCATTTTAGGTAGTGATCTACCTTGCCGCAACATGTGTCACTACTAGGTATTGAGATAGCAACGGTGACATCAAAGACAATCACGGCCTTGACAGGAGTCAAGATCACAAGAAAAGCAAACATTGATTGAAGTTTGAGGACGTGACCACGGCTTGATTCACTGCTAAACTGGACCTGTTGTCAACATTGGCATCCCAAGATCACAGCTTGGTGCTTAAGCTTCAGAGTCTGGTGGCACATTGATTGCTTTCTCGACCCGTTGTCTGGAAGGTATGGTGCATCGTTTGCCGAGCGATCTGGGAACGCCACAATAAGATAATATTGCGAATTAACACAAGTCAGAATCCCACACTCATGTGATGAGATACTGTCTTTCAGAGAGGTGATACGAAGAGGTAAGGGTGCATGTATGTAGGGGTAATGCTCTGGGAACAATGGTTCGTAATAAAAATAGCGTGAACATAAGCAAAGGGGGACATGTGTTGTTGTGTTACTGCGCAATCTGTACACCTGTTCCAGGCTTTGGCATTCGACAGATCAGCGAAGTTTGCGTTTGCTACCTGCTTCATAGCGAGAAATGACTGGCAGTCAATTCAATCTTCAATACGAAAGATCGACAGCTAAGCAATGAACAGTTGAACACGAAGACTATCATTGCCCGTTTGCAATTGATGAGCTGAAAACTGCTCATCGCTTCCATGGCAGCTCGTAATGCTCATAGGATCATTTTCCTGGATGCACGTGTCCAGCGCTCCTTTATAAGTACTTCGTGTGCTTGCCATGAAGAAATCGTTGCTCCAAAGCTCATTCACCAACGAGTCCTAAAACGAAACAGACACTTTCTCCAGTCCTTAGCAAAATGCGTCTTGCTCACATCCTCCCTCTAACTCTTCTCGCTGGACCCTCCTTGGTTCTTGGGGAATGTTTCAATTCAGGACCACGAACAGGTTACGCCAATGACAACAACGTTCTCGATCTCAGCGCTGTCTGCAGCTTGCTCACAGGCCTCTACAACAAGGGCGAATTCCGACGGATTTGCGTGCATGACAAAAATAGCATCAAGTGGGACTTTGAGCTGAAGGTATCAATTTTGAAATTCGCAGCCATTTCTACTTGTCTCTGACGCTTTGCAGTATTTTGGTAGTGGTGCAACTCGTACTATCCATGGACCTGAATGCGTGAATGGCTTTTCAAAGGAGGCAAAGTGTGCCCAAGGGGGGAAAACGGCGTACGGCAATTGGGAGTACATGTAAGCTTGCATACTTGCTATACTTGCTATACTTGCTATAAAACTTGGATCAAGCAGTAAGCTGACACGAAATCTCACAGAGCTGATCCCAATAATGGACGCTGCTTTCGCAGCCCAGTGTAACCCAGGTCTTTGGCTGGTTAAAGGAAGTCCAAGGTCATTTTGTATTGTTTTGCGGAGTCCTCTTCACCTCCCAAAGATGTTGCATTGATTTTTCGTGTAGCTATCTGTCCAGTGCTGTCCAAATTGATCTAGTGATTACTATCACGCTACGCAAGCATTCAGCCTCAACTGGGGTTTGTATAGGGAACTGCATGGCATCTAGCCACTGGCGATACCACTTGTGCAATGTGCATGGATGCCTTGAAGATCAAATAGCTCTACTCGCAAAGACACTCGCAATTGGGACTCGTGCAAGTCCAGCCTTGTTTCCCTTGACGCTGGCACTAACATCACCCAGATATATCAGTAAGTGCTCAGCAAATCTATGTGGCATTGTGGGTTGCAATACCTCGGCTTCGCATCCGCCATCGAAGCCTCCGCACCATGTCATGAAACCGCACCCGTAGCGTAAGTTGTACTCGAAATCGGACATGGATCCTTGCGTAGGGGGCCAGGTGAAAGGGACGGTAGGGGTAGCACTGGTGGCAGTGGTGGCACAGGTCATAGCCACAACCAAGAAAGAGAAACTGTATAGCATTTTTGTCTTCGGATCCAAATTTGTGGGCAGAAATACCTCATGTGGAACTGTAAGGGATAGAATGAAAATTCCCAACCTGCGTACTCTAGGAAAACCTGGGAGATGTCATTCATACACTAGAGCTGTTTTATAGTCACTTAGTCATCGTATTTAGTTACGAATGGAGATTCCGTGAAGTTGTTGCCGGTGATTTATGAGTCCGCAAAGTGGGACTTGTTGGCAAAGCATAGAGGCGGTGCCGTACGGATGCCTGAAATATCCACACCTATTGCGCTCTATGTTGCGACCGCCATTAGTCGTGTGTGGAAGTGGAAAAAGTCCAATGGCCCTCATAGCTACTTATGCACGATGATGATTCGATCATAAGGGTCAACACTACTTTTCATCTCATATGCTAGGTTGAGCGGGATGAGGGAATTATATCCGGTAGCTCTCCTTACAAGTTTTGATAACAGCCGTTCTGACGCACTTGACATGCTCTCGATCATATCATATCTGGTTTGAGTCGGTAGAAGCTATAGCGAACGAGTGCTTTGATCCTTAAGGCTGCTGCGTATTACATGGTTGGCCTGTGGTAGTTGACCGAGAACGAGGTTGAGGTGGGTGCCGAGAATAGAGTTCATTAGCTTGTGGGTGTAATAGAGAAGCTTAACTCTACCGGTGAGCGAATCAGAAATATGTACCAGTACTCCGATGAGGCCGCGAACTGCCTCAATACTAGAAAGAGGCAGTATTTTTCATTGAGGTATTGGTGGCGCCAACAACTAAGTAAGGCGTCTCTCAGGTGCATCGACGGCGCACGCGCCACCACTTTTGCCCAAGAGAGGCTCATCCATTATCGCAATGAGGAGCAGAGGTTGCTCAGCGGGACACGGTTCGTTCAAATATCTCAGAAGCAGCACTCAATATCAAAGGGAAAAGAAGTACTAGAGCATGCATGCCGCATTCTCTGGATGATCCGATAACAAAAGTTTCTTGACTCTGTAGGGAGTGCGAAGACGTACACAGTAGGCCGCGGCTCAAGCTAATGCGACTTGATTGAATTATGTCAGCACTCTTTATTTCTGATGGCTCAATAAGAAATGCTCCTCGGTCCGGGGGTGTCGACCGGGGTCTCGCTTGGGGGGGGCTCCTGAGTAAAAAGCGAAAAGTCGGGATGAAATCCACACTTAATCGCCGTTTGAGTGGGGATCCGGCGCCGAAGACACGGAGGACCCTGCGGGATAAAGCCGGATTGCGCTAAACTTGGCAAATTGAAGTCGGAGATGCAAAACAGGGGGCCTATGCTCGAAATTCACAGTGACGCCTTGGAGTTTGCCTTGTGGCAGCCAGGATGAGCCGGTCCGATGGCTGGGTTTGGCAGGCTGACAGCAGTCGATCAGGGAGGTTCAGATGACTGGTGGTTCATGAGTTACTTGAAGCGGCGATATGATGAAGCGAAGTGCCGTGTCTGGGTATGAGCGATGAGGTGAGAATGCGAATGAGTCTGAGAATGAAAGCTGTCTTGGTGACCTGGAATACCAAAGGAAGTAACGGTCCGAGACTGAGTCGATTCGGCAATGGCAACGATCCGCGGAGAATTTCATGTGGGAGGGAAGGAAGGGTCGCTTGCATTTCTGGACCTGCCGTCACTGGTCAAACTGTCTCAGGAGGCAGGAGCGTCAGTGACGTAGAGGCGGGGGAGTTTGCTAAGGAAGGCGCACCTCAGAGGCTCAGTCCGGCTCCTGCAAAAAAGAAAAAAAGTGACTACCCATGCTATGGTTGCCAGTTGGTAAGGAAGGAGCGTGGGATAAGCATAGGAAAAGGCGGGGCAGATTAGGTAATTGCTGCTCACCGACGCCTCCTCGTCGCACCTCAGGTGTCACTAGAGGCAACAGGCCATGGAAGAGAGGTGGTCACAAATGACGGATGGAAGAATTTGGAAAGAAAGAACGGCAGACTTTCCGCCCGCAAGGTCTCCACAAATGTCACCGTCACCGTCTGAGTCTCTCCTCATTTTTCTCCCAGGTCTTTCTCTTGGGGCTCTTGGAGTCGTACCTAGTCGTGAACGTGGACGTGGACTGCTTCCATATCCACCTAGCAAAGGAAGATTCCTTCCCCCCCTCAATCCGCATTTACGGATACTCGACTCTTCCCTGTCGACGACCCCTTGTTTTTCTTCCTTCTGCCCCCCTTCTATTCTGCCCTGCAGGAAGTCCCCACTGCTTCGTCCTGGTCTTCCCGAAAACTCCCATCTGCGTCTCAGCGTCTCAGCGTCGCTTCTCGCCTGCCGCCGCCGCCGCTGCTCGCATTCTCGTCATCTCAAGGAACAAGCCCGGACCTTTTTTTCTTGTCCCTCTCGCATCCAGTTCGCCTCGCTGCCTCATCTCCCGACGAATCATCGTAGCCTAGATCGAAATCAGAGACCAGCGACACCGAGCGATACCAACACCAGCGACAGACAAGCCCAGCTTGTTCCCAGTCACCGACGAAGCGAGGACCACCCAACTGTGTTCCCCCCTCTTCCCCTCGTCACTCGGTCGGTCGGTCACCGCATGCACCTCGTCCCGAGAGTGGAATTAAGGAATTCGCACCCATGTCATGGTGATGCCACATATTGCGACCTATCCATGTCCAATTCTTCCAGCCCGCCAGCCACGACTCTCTCCAAGACTTCATCCTATTATTCGCTGATCTGACTTGCGAGCGACCTCACGCTACCACTCGCTGCTCTGCGGATCGGATACCTACCTGCACACGCTACACACGCATCCCGCCTGGCCTGCTTCATCATCTCCTGTGTGGCCGTACGGACCCCGGATAATTTGCTGGACCACCACTACTGCAGACCTACCCAACGCGACGTTGCACACACCGCAAACGCTGTCACGGACAACACACCACCAACCGCCGATAAATCACAAACCCACTACATCACTCGTGTCACCGAAATTTGGCAGCAGCTCTGCTATTTACGACCGCCGATCGACGACTTTTGACCTTCTTCACCGACTCGCGACAAATACCGACTCCTTGCCAACTCGACTCGCGCCCAAAGTCCGTCTTGGGCCCTTATCATCTCGACACCCGCCTCCGATCACAGCCACGCTAGAGAGTGGTGAGACACGACATTCGATATCCACGACTGCGTTCGTTGCCTCTCGATTCTTAGCTGCCGTCTATCGACTCGAAGCCAATAGCCTGACGGTCGACGAAACCTCCTCGATCACCACGACCCATCCCAAGCACCCCTAAAGCATGACACGATGGATCCCCCCGACCCCTTGCCGCTCCGAATAACGAGGAGCGCCTCTTCCTCCTCGTCACTTCATTTCAAGCCGCGCGACCGAAAGCTGCACCTTCTAGTGGCCGCTAATGGGCCCCGCGACATATCATGGGCACAGGCTCTCGTCGTCCGTCTCTCCAAGAGTTCGGCCATTGAGATGCGCGCCATCGTCGACGACGCCGTGCCCCGCTTAAGCCAGACTGTCATCACTATGCAGAACCGATCCATGACACTGCCGCTAGGTCCCTCGCGTGCCGGCTCCGAAGCAGACGTTGACGATATTGAGTTCTACCGCCAGCAGGCATTCGAGCTGGTTGAGTGGGCTGATCTCCTGGTTCTCGCCCCGATCGATGCCGATAACATTGCCAAGATGATGGTGGGAATCGCGGATACTTTCCTTCTTGAGGTGCTTCGCGGCTGGGACACAGCGAAAAAGGTGCTTCTCGTCCCTGGGATGAGCACGCACATGTGGGAGAACCCGGTAACGAAAAGGCAGTTGAACAAAATCAATAGCAAATGGCCTTGGGTGCGAGCTATGCCACCTATACTCTGGCACTACGACAGCGCACACAAACACCCGAAGCGAATTGTCAATTGGAACGGCTTCAACGACGTGTTAGGTATCATCAAGAACCAAGCCGACTTGCTCGGCCTGGGTCGGGATGTGGACGTCGTCACCCATCTCGGTTACCTCGCTTCGGGTGATCCGCGAGTATACTCCAATTTGCCGCCGGAGATCTGGACTATTATTCTCGACTTTGCCGACGACTGGGAGTTGGCGCAGGCGTTAGGGATTTTCACCAACCTGCCCATGCCATATCCTTGGAAGCTACAACCCAGGAACCCCAACGATCCGGTGAAGGTCTACGAGCACGAATTGGAGTGGCTCGTACTTACTTGCGACTCCACCTCTATTTGCAAAAAGCTGCTTCAGTCGCCGCCTACCTTCCACGAACTCCCAGCACTCGTCATTAAGCTTCTTATCCGCTTCTCGCTGATTGAAGTGCTTACCTGGATGGAGGCCAACCGCCCTGATCTCTTCCAGGCTTTCGACGGCAAGGTCCTCGCGACCAAGGCTTCCGCATACTTTGGACGCTCCGACGTCCTTGATTATTGGAAGGAGAGCCGATATTTCCGTGGTCGCCACCAACAGTGCTACGATGCCGAAGCCCTTGATGGGGCGTCCAAAAACGGCCATATACAGAGCCTGGACTGGTGGTGGCGGCGCTCCGGCTTACCGCTCCGCTTTACCGAGGCTGCTCTCGAGCAGGCCAGTGGAAAAGGTCATCTTCTCGTGCTTGAATGGTGGCGTGATGCCGCTGCCCAGGACGAGAATATTGTGCTTAGACCTGGGAAGTCGCTGTTGTGGGCCGCCCAGCACGGCCAGGTTGACGTCATACGTTGGTGGGTGGCCTCTGGCATTCCTGTTGCCAATGGAGACGGCGTAGCAAAAATTGCTTCACGATGGGGTCAGGTCGGCGTTCTCGAACTTTGGAGGAAGCTAAAGGGCGACGACAAGCTCGCTTTCGACGGCGAGGTCCTCGTTCAACCTACAATCCATCAGCACATTGGGGTTCTGGAGTGGTGGCGCAAGTTCGCATATGGCGAGCTTGAAGGAATGGAAGGGCGGAAACACCGCGTCGAATACCGAACCTGCGACATCGAAGAGGCCTTGGAAGACAGTATCGGCGATCAAGAGCCGGTGCGGAAATGGTGGGCCAGCAACGGGCTCAATCTGAGTATTCGTAATCTTGAGTGGATGAGGCCCAGGTATCTGTAGGACTATCATGACACATTTACGGGCGTAGGCAGCATTGCTTGGGTAGCACTACACATGGCGCCTTGACATTTCTAGCATCAACATGGGCTCGAAAAAGTTTGGCGTTTACCGGGATTTCCTAGGCGTATGGGAGCGATACATGATTAAGGGAATATTATTCAAATTATAGACTGATCGCTATGATGTTCAATCACGCTTGTGTTACACTTTTACTCATTCGCCATTCGAATATGTACCATTTCTGATCATTTTCAGATAACCAGGGGCGCTGCAACGAGGAGGCCTGCGACCAAGACGGAGCCGTCGAGATTCTTTCCCAAAAACGCGGCACCTTGGGCCGATGTTGACGTCGGCGCTGCGCTAGTCGTTGTTGTCCTTGTTGTTGACGTCGAAGATCTTGACGACGACGATGATGTCGGCCCATCATCGCCGCCACCAAGTGTTTGCGTGGGCTGTGGGAAGTTTCTCAGAGACGTAGTCCCCGCTTCACCCCCAGGTATCGTCGCGAGTAGACTAGATGTCGCGCTTGTATCATCACCACCACCTCCGCCGCCGCCGCCGCCGCCTCCACCGTTGGGGTTCCGACACTTCTTGTCCCCGACACAAGTGAGGCCTGCATTGCAGAAGTATGTTTCGCAGCAGACTTGACCGGCTGGCATACATCCGGTGCCGCAGGGTGTCTGGCCGGCCGCACACTGACTTCCTCCTCCTCCTCCGCCGCCGCCGCTGCTACCCTTATTGCACTTCTTATTTCCAGCACACGTCTCTCCGGCGTCGCAGTAGTAGGTATTGCAGCAGACTTGGCCAGCCGGCATACATCCCGTACCACAAGGAGTTTCGCCCGCCGAACACTGACTTCCGCCGCCAGATCCGCCGCCCTTGTCGCACTTCTTGTTCCCCAGACACTTCTCGCCGGCGTCGCAGAAGTATGTATCGCAACAGACTTGACCGGCTGGCATACATCCCGATCCGCAAGGAGTCTGACCAGCCGCACACTGGCTTCCACCACCACCACCTCCTCCTCCGCTATTACAACGTTTTTCGCCCACGCAAGTGTTCCCTGCGGGGCAGTAATAGGTCTGACAGCAAGTCTGTCCCGTAGGCATACACCCAGTGCCACAGAGCGTCTCCCCAGCTCCACACGAAGTGCCTCCTCCGCCACCGCCGCCTCCCTTATTACACTTCTTGTCGCCCGCACACGTCTCCCCAGTCGGGCAGTAGTACGTCTGACAACACGTTTGTCCAGAGGGCATACATCCACTCCCACACTGCGTCTGCCCGTTCCCACAGGAACTTCCTCCCCCGCCTCCGCTGCCGCCGGTACAGTGTCCATCAGAAGTACACGTCTCTCCGGCATCACAGTACCCTCCGTTGGAACAACATACTGTGCCAGAAGGAATGCAAAGCCCATTGCAAAGCACCTTCCCCGAACTACATCCCTGAGGCGGACCAGAGCACGTCTTGCCGACTTGGCAGCACCCACCCGAGGTGCAGTATTTGCCTACCTCGCAGTACCCGCCCGAACCCGTGCCACAGCATGTTCCGGTGATGGGGATGCAGCCGTTGTCGCAGGATTTCTTGCCGATGTCACACGAGGCGACGGCCGCGGCGCCGATGTTGAGGATCGGAATTGTGGAGCCGGTGCCGGGGAAGAGGTAGGCTGGGGTCGAGAGGGAGGTTGAGCCGTCGTAGTTTTGGGGCTCGTCAGCGTGGGTGAGGATTGGGAGGAGGAGGGCCGAGAGGGTTGAGAGAAGGGGTTTGGAGAGCATGGTTGGGTGCTTGTGATGTGTGCTCTTTGAGGATTTGGTCTTGAAAGGGGACAACGTGTCTGGGTAGGTTCGCCTGAAGCTCAAAGGCTTTGAGGGGGGCGGGGGACACGAGATCGTTGGACAGCTTTAGAGACTTGTGTTGTGGTATATGTAGTTCTTGGCCAGGCCCAAGTCCAGGAAGAAAGACAGGTCTTGTGAGGCAGGTGTCTTGGACCTTGACATTTCCGCGGCTTTCTCTGGAGTCCTACTCAAGGGTAGCCACTCACACAAAGCCGTTGATCAGGCTGAGAGCATATCCGTACCATATTGGTAGATATTCAGAGCTGAATACAAGCTTCCAACCCCGGACCTTGCTCATCGCTCGCTAGCTCCCTTATCAAGGCTTACCCGACGTCCATCTCTATTTCTTGGGTGCTTGTTTGCGGTCAAGTCGCACGGACCGACGGACGGCAGGTGGGATGAACAATACGACGGGCGTTCACCTTGTTGCCAAGTCCCTTAATCCCTTGATTGACAAGGCAATTGTTTCTTGGCAAGGCGGGTTTGTTGTACTCTGTACAAGAACTGGAGTCTGTACCGACCCTTCGGATGGGGACGGAAAGGGGTTTGAGTGTATGAATACCGGTGGGCGGAAGGGTGTGGATTGATTAGAGAGTGCGGGTGAGCCTTGTGGGGATGAGCTAGATATGCAGGGTTTAATGATAACCAGGCATCTGCACTTTGAAGGCGCTTCCTTTCCACATGGTTTGATTAGAGGATCATGAGTGGCGTCTCGTGTTCAGATAGTCAGCTCTAGACGTTGAAGAACAGAATGGGTGAGTAGAAATCGCCCCAAGAGGAGGGCTCCATCGCGGAGCACCAGAGGACAGGATACAGTCGGGCAGCTACGGAGTGAACCCGAGTCTATCACTGGCCTTGAAGATCGCTGGTATCATCTACAGCCTCAGATCATCAAATCTGCCTGAATTCAGTCAAAGCTATTAGTCCGACTGACATCACCTGCCACCGCAAGGCATGACTCCGAGTCCGAGTCCGCCTCCGCCTGTCGACCCCGTCCCCGCATTCCTGTCAGCCTGGGCTAGCAAACTCAGCTCGTTTAACCTTGTTTATCTAGCTCCCCTAGCTCCTGCGAGTAAGCGAAGTGAAGCTGTCAAGCTAATGCCGATTCAAGGCGCAGATCGCCAACACGTATCAAATGATTACTCTGACTCGGGCGCGAGATGACCCGCTCAGAGCTACATGATTGGCAAAAGACAGATTAACAATGTTTTCAACCGTGCAATGGTACATGCACAGTACTACATAGTACACACACTTCAAGCGACGTAGGTTTGGCCAACAAAATAAGGTCCTGTCAGACTTTTCACGCCCTAACGGCGACTGGCGCGGTACGGCTGAGTCGAATCTAACGACTGTGACGAATGGAGTTGAGGGGATCCCCAAGAGAGGCGTTCGCTAGTCCCAGAGTCGCAGTTGGACCCTTGTGTAAGTTATGTTGTGGCTTGAGGTTGCTTTTGAGTTGGCGGCTTGGCATTCCTAGACTCTAAGCATCGCTTGCGGGTTTCTTGCGAAATTGGCAGGTTGGGGTCAAGCAGGCTGTCAGAATGGAACGCCAGAATTATTGCCTGGCAAGCCACTAGATAGTAATTTGCTGGTGTACAAGGACTACCATTCGATCTTTCATGACTCCTGGAGATCATCAATTGACTCTGAAATCCCACTCAATGACTATTCAGGGTGAACTTATTTCCATGTGTTGGCATTGTGATGGTGTGGTCGAACAACGAGTGAGCCCGCTATGTGTGGTAGGTAACTAGGTTTCTCGGTTGAACGGGATTCCTGCCGTCTTACGGACCTGAATCGTGAGCACATTTCAGTACCTAGGTGATGTTTTGTTTCGGGTGCTGGCTTTTGGCAAGGCGTCCCCTTATCAATGACATTGATGCACCCCAGCCGTCAACAATGTGACATTGGCGGTTTGAGTTGGGTGCGCAGAAGCCATGGACAGCGATGTTGTAAGTCGAGGGAATGAGGGGCTGACATAAGTGGCGTTTTTTATCTGACGGGGTCGTAAAAAGACACAAAAGGCCAGAATTGGAGTCTCCGCTTTTCCGGGAACCCGAACGCACAGAATTTGTGCTCAGAAGCGCAGAGTCTGGCAAAACCTCGCAAATCAGAATTGACAACATCAATCACCCAAAATCGTTGCCCAAAACAAAAAGTGTCGACGTTGGCCTGATTCGAACAGACGCTCCCGAAGGAACAAGATTTCTAGTCTTGCGCATTAGACCACTCTGCCACAACGCCGGAGTGTCATTCAACCCGCTTTGAGGCGGGGATGGTGGGATTTGGCTTGCTGTCCTTCATGGTCCCAGGCGGGCCGTGACGAAGGTACATGTCTAAGCAGTTGCCCGCGAGAGGTGTGGATGTTGGATGAGATGTCACTTGCTCATGAAGTTGCGAGGTGCTGAGAAGAAAAGCGCCCAGGGCAGGTGTTTCTTAACGTATTATTGCGTTACATCCCATTGCACTTGAGCGTTTTGCTTGAAATCTTCTAAAGTCTTCCTCAAAATATGTCTCTGCCAACCTCAGGCCGCCCACAGCTTCGGGATCGAAGTCCGTGATCTCATGTTAGAAGCAAACCCGTGCTTGCTCCCTAGACGCGAAAGGCAACCATTGTCCCCCTCGCCAAGTAGAGCATCTCGAACCGTTGGCGAATGCGAACTTGCCGACTGTCCGGCGCCAAGGTTATCAAGAGCCTCGGAAACTCTGCACTCGCTGGCGGTACCAAAAAAAAAAAAGTGCTAAATGACACGAGGTCTGAGACTGCCCCTGACCCTGAGCCGATCAGACGAACGGGGTCACCCGGATTTTTGGAGAGGGGAAGTCCAGCCGGCGGGGCTGCATGGAGCATTTGGGGTCTGAAATTTTTTGAACGCTGAACCCATGTTGATTTCGGTTGCTGGCTGTCGTCCGTTCTTATTCTAAATGCATCCTGGCATGAGCTTCGGAAAGTTGATGTAATCAGGAATAGCGCTCTAGTCTTTGTGAGCTGTGAGCAACTCCGCTTGTTCTTGCTATTTTTAACCTTATTCTTACGTTTACTCAATACTAGGCGAGTACCTCGGTCTTCCATTGACTGGAGCCGTCTGATTGATATACCTAGTGCAGATCTGAGATCACGTTCAGACATCGAAGAACTCCTGTTTGCCAAAGCCTGGCATGGCGTGAAGGGCTAAGGCTTGCTGTCGCTACATCTTGCCAACAATATTTGCATGCGATAGTGGTTGATATCTTGCCAAGACCAACGCCGATTAGACTTCTCGGTGGTCTTACTTTCGTCACATCAGACCGTACCGCCGGGTTCGCGAGGAAGACAAGTTGACCTGATGCCAAATGCTTGGCATGGAATGATGTCCCTTTCGGACAGCTGGGCGGAAAGCTATCCAACAGGCGATCTTGGCGGGGTAATAATCCATATCGCCTGGTAAAGAATTGTATCCCAAGTCAACCATGTAACCCGATACGACGGTAAAACTCCTTAGATTGCGTGCGTGAGCCCAGCAAGTCATCGCACGGCTCATCGCCTCTCACTTGTTGCGCTGCCAAGTTTTTCTCCGCCGTCATAGCCGTGCCCACTTGCAGGATCACTCCCAAAGCCAATATGGCTCTCTACCGACTTGCGAAGTTCTCTCTCGAAACAGATTCGGCTGCAAACTACGGGCAGCTCCAGGCAAGAAGTAACGAGGAGATCGGATTTCTCTTGTCGTGAGACTATTCCCGCCTTGCGTCCATGAAACGGTCAAAATATGGGTCTCCATATCGGTCTCATTGGCTGCACATCACGGATGATGCGCGACCAGGCCTTACCCCAGACAACCCGAAACGGCTTGCCTGTCAGACATCTTGACTTGGAGTGTGTCGCTAAATCCTGCCAACCAACTTCGTCGTATTAATAGAACAGCCCGGGTCTGATTGCTAAAACCAGCCTCTTGAGAGGTCAACCACGATGCGTCCGATGGTTGTCCATTATGTGATGGAAGTTTGGACAGGTGCTAATCTTGGCTCAAACATGGCCTCACCGACTCCTCCCAAATGCCTCAATGAGACGGAGCTGTCACAACACAATGGCGTCTTGGCTGAGGTTTAGATGGTGGACTACGGACAAGTTAGATATATAAAGCAGTGTGAAAGGTCTCTCAAAGTCAGTTTCGAGTAGAAAGTCTTCAGCCTCCAACGCGTCTTCCCTTTCGAGTTTATCTATCAAATTCGGTCGTGCGCTGGTTCGCCGGCATCTCATAATCATTCAATTCGAGACAAAGCCTATTTCCACGATACCATCATGACGTTCGAATGTCTGCTCCCACTGAGGCTGTTTAGCCCTGCCTTCTTCTACTCGATCCTTCTCTTCTGTTCCATCGCCGTCCTTACTAAGGCTGAAGATCCCACCTCTTCACCAGCTCAGCAAAGCGCACCCTTCGTAGACCAGGCCACAGGCCTGGGTATGGAGCGCTTCTTCGGAGCCCGTACCTCGTTTGCCTTCGCGATGGCTCTGCCAGAAACAACTTCATCATCTTTCATCGGCCAATTGTCATTCCCGCTAGTCAACGGTGCTGGATGGGGTGCCATGGGCTTGACCGGCGACATGGAAGGAAACTTCTTCCTGGCGGCATGGCCGGATGGCAATGGTGGTGTCATGGCTACATTCCGCCAAGGAACCAACGAGGACAACCCACCCGAAGTCAAGGGCAACTTCGCCGTCCGGCCTATTGCAGAGGGCGTCTCCGTTAACGCAACGTCTCTGACCTATACCTTTCTCTGCGAGAACTGTCTAGATGCGACTTTGGGACTTGGTCCGGAGGCCACGAGTGCCAACGCCGTGATGGGATGGGCTCTGTCGGAGAAGGCCGTGAGAAACCCCGGAAACCCTGGGGCAACCTTGGGGTTCCACGAGCGAGGATTCGGTCCATTTACTGCGCGACTAGGTAACGCTAAGTCTGCACAGTTTGATGCTGTAGCTGCCACCGCTGGGCAGTCCGTTGCTGGCTCAAGTCGAGCGGTTGCGGTGACCCCCAATGCGTTCCGTGAGGGGGACAGTGGAGATGACGATAAGAAGAAAGGGGGTGGAAAGGGTGGAGATGATGACGATGACGACGATGACTAGACTTTTGAATACATGGATAACACTTGATGATTTGCATAACAATAAGATACCTCCTACACTTTGTTGATCTCAGCCCGCCTTGCCGATACGCGATTGTAGTTCTGCCTAGCTCCTGCAAAATTCTGTCCACTTTTGGGATGCTTCCGGATCTGCGCAAGCTTGAACCAAGTCAAGGTTATACTGCTTCTGTGACAGCACGAATTGTTTGTAGGACAAATTATAAGCCTTGACAGCGTACGCAGTTCCGATGGTTCCAAAGGCAATGCCCAATATAGTCAGGATAGCAACGATGAGTGCCGTCCAGAACGTCGAGAACTCTAGGAAATTTCGACCTTCCTTGTCCAGACGAAGTTGTTGGGTGCCTCGAGGTGGCTTGCTGTATTCCTCCAGTAACTTTCGTATGCCTAGCTTCCAGTATGAGAAGTCATCAAGCTCGACCTTCCTTGTACGGCCACATCGCCCCAGTCTCCAAAGTTCTTCTTCTCTCTCTTCAGCAATCTCATGGTTCCAGGATCTTCATATGGAAATAGAAGAACTAGAGTATCTAGGGTTTCTTCAAGCAGGTTATGCGGTATGGGGCAATTCGTCGAATACTCCAAATGATTCCAGAGACATACAATGTGTTCGTACCATGTAGCGCTCCTTTGGCCCGATTCCCCATCAACTTGCAACTGTTCAGCTAGGTTAGAAGTCCAACGAATGAAAAAGTTGTATCGTTCGCAAAGCACCGTAATGTTGAAAGTGGAAGGAATACTAGTTGCAGCACCTGGTCTCAACTTGTTTGGTTGGTCGGCAAGAGCGCAGGAAAAGTAACTTTCGATCACCTGGCGAAGGGTTCTCGTTTCTTCCCAAGCCAATTGCACTGGCTTGGGATAGATCTGACTAAGTGGGAAGGTGTCAAAGTTAATGGTGAGCCAAAACTTGGCGATGAGATCTAGACTTCTGGAAACTTCGTTTTCAAGCCTTTCGCATGGTGCGTTCGTCATCTTGTTCAAATTTCTGCCGCGCTTTCGCTGGGTTGAATAACTCTCGTAAATTTCTTCGAGCCAATATCGACTACCTCGCTGATTCGGACTTTTGATTCCATTACGTTTTGAACCATCACGTTGATGTATTCCGGTACATGGTCAGCTAAAGCTCTCGTATGGTGAAGTGGTGCCCGATGGATCTTCGATATTTCTTTGTCGAGGAAATTGAGGAAGCACTCGTAATCTTCGAGATGAAAGTCTGAGGTAGGTAACTTGGACCATAGGCACTGGAGAAGCCCCTCCTAGGTCTTTGAAGAAACCTCTCTATGCGTAAATGCATTCATGGCGGGGAAAAGCTTCTCATCCCTAGGACGATCGAAGCCAAGGGGCAGACCAATCGGGCCTTTGTGAATCGTTTTGGTAAGGCCGGCGCAATTTGCAGAGACAATTCTATTGGACTGTGTGGAAGGCATATTGATGAAAGTTCTGGAATCAGATCATCTGTCAAGCTACTTAAATACTTTGACAGGTCGTAGCATTGGTCAGTTATACCTAATCATGACAAGCGCTTACAAGGCACGGTTAATTGCGAAGGTGTCTCACTTACTTAGGGTAGTTTGGCAAATTGCATCCTCAATGACGAGTCTTTCCAAAACAATGGAAGTTAAGATAGTAGCATCTTCGTACAAACAGCAGAAAAGGCGTTAGTACCGTTAGGTTCTGGCTAAGGTAGAAAGGTGTGCGGTCGGATGCACACCAGCATTATTCAAACGTCTGTTCTTAAAATCTATCCAGTAATTCCCACCATCGACAAACACATTGATCATAACTGGCTCTCCCGTCAACAGTTTTGGTACTGCATAACCATAAGCTACATGTACTCATCAGAATCAGAGTGGGTTTCTGCAAGTCCTAATTTCCCTCCTCATTCTGAAAGACTGTCGTTCGTCTATGCTCCAATATAACGTACTGAGTAGGCATCGAACCCGTCTTGAAACATGTTTGCGGGCTTTATTAATCACCTTTGTGTTCAGTCCCGGAAGAATATTAATGAGGGAAACAAGTTCGATCTCATAAAGCTCAAAAGACTTTTTGCCTGTTTCCTGTGCAGTCTCGTAATCTTATAAATACCTTGCCTAAGCGATAAGATGTTACTTGAGCTGACGACAGAATGAGTTTTCTCTCACGTCAGGATCTCGCCGTCCCATTGACAATGCACGATCGCCTCTTTAGTTGATTCCAATAGATTATGTCTGACTGTTTCTTGAACCCGGGGTCTTCCCAAGGTCAACAATGACCACCATACTATCTCAGGGAAGATGAGGCTCATGAGGAGAGGTTTTGCTCTGTGGGCCTCCAAGGTGATGAAGACCACTATCTAACTGAATTTGGAGGGAGTGAGGCACAGTAACTTGCTTGTCCGCGCAATATCTACCGCAGTGAGAGTGTGCTACTACTGTTGCATTGACGATCGGTACTTTTCTTGAAAGGGACTTAAAATTCTACTCGAGGTCGCCGACCAAGTGACGGACAACGTGAGCATCACCACGCGTATCCCCAAGCGTTCAAAAATTCCTGATGCTAAATGCATCGTAACATTACGATGAGACCAAGGATGCGATCACAGTGGCCACAGTTTTTACTGGACAAAACTCTTTCCAAGTTACCATTAAGCTATTGTAGACCCCGGTGTAAGCACAGGCATTTGATCAATTAAAGCAGGGTCTGAGAGCTTGGTGAAAACTCATTCTCTTTGCATCGTGTTGGAAGTAGTGAAGCAGAATATTGCGTCCGCTCAGACTATGTATATGCAATTCCTTCATCTGTGTTTATATTCGTCATCTTCTTTTGATCTTCGAAGATGAGAGCGCCTCAAACCTTTTTTGGCAACATCGAAATGACACTATGCTAGACACAAGAGGAAGCTCTGCAATGGAGTGCAATCAAACGATCCAAGCTATCGGATCCCGTCGAATGGCAATGCTAAATCATCTCTTCTTAGTGGAAGGTGAATCAAGCTCTATCAAGGCTGTACTTAGGTCTTGACCTTGAGGAAATTGGCTGAAGGTGCTAAAATGACCATTTCTGCCCCAGGGTCGGGCATGGGCATCATCGCAGGTGTTGAACTACAGAGCAGTCGATCAGCACGGTTATAAGCCAAATGCTGAGCTTCCACAAAGGCTTACCCGATCTGATCTAACAGCAGGCAAGAAATTACAAGGTGGCAACGTTTCGAGAAGTGAAGTCGCAAGACCGACCACGTATTTTCTACCACGATGCACTGTCCATGTTGAGGTCGCCGACAAACCGCCGGAAGGCATCGCCAGGCGTGGCCTCAGGTGCTCACATATGTGATTGCTGAAAACTTCGCAACGCTACCTGCACATTGCAAGCATGGGCGCGATTGGAGGAATCATACCATGAACTAGATTGTTGTATCTACGTGGGGATGGAAAGTCGTCACCGAGCTGTTGTAGGCATTTTCCTGAAAACAGAAGAATCGGAGGAATTCAGATGAGACCAATGGGCCTGGGGCATAGGAAGTCTGGGAAAAATAATTCTTGCTAGTGGAGCTAGTCCCGGGCTTTTGTAATAGTGCGAAGAAGCCTGCCACAACAACGCATCCCACCGGGAGGGGACTGCGGCGGAGCTCCTTTACGACTCGTAAAACCGACCTACGAATACTCTTACGTCTCAAAAGAGTCGATAGAGATGCCGTCCGTCGCAGTCGGTATATGCATGGGTCATTTCCGGGATCGGGATGCAACGCAAGCCCGTCAAGACCATGCAACTGTATTGTCACGGCATAGACTTGATCATTTGTGAGGTATAAAGCTCAAGGTTTGAGACCTTGCCCTAATCAAATATCTCCGTGTCATTCTACTCCCATCTTGAAATAAGTATCCATCGACAAAATGCCTGAGTGTGGTTCAATTGTGGACGGGGTCGTGCGATACCCTCCTTCTGGGATCAATGTTGTCATTGTTGGCGCAGGCCTGGGAGGCTTGCAGGCAGCCGTTGAGTGTTGGAGGAAGGGTCATGAGGTTCGAATTCTTGAGAAGGGGAAGGCGATTTCCGAGGCCGGTACGTGATTACCTTGAGGCTTCCTTTCCGCTGGAATTGAACTAATAATATGCCGCCCAGGTGATGTTATCAGACTCGGGCCTAACAGCTATGCCACCTTGAAGGAGTATCCTAAGATGCTCCAGGAATGGGATCAGTTCGCCTTTGACCCCGAGGCATGCTTCTGTCACCGTGACGGACGATTCGCTGTGCCGAAGGCTGAAGTCGAGCATCACCTTCCGGGAGTTGCCACACATGTGATATGGCCCATCCGAGCAAAGCCGATTGTCAGCCGACGAGATCTTGCTATGATGCTTCTCAGTCAATGCAAGCGATTGGGGATTCCTGTGACGTATGGTGTAGACATCACCCGTTACTCGGAAGATGGAGAGGGTAGCGCCACCGCCCACGCCGAAGATGGCCGCAGCTTCACCGGGGATGTTGTGATAGCGGCAGATGGCATCGGCTCCAAGAGCTGCAGTGTGACCTTGGGCAAGCCGGTTCGCGCAGTGAGTACAGGTTACTGTGCTGATCGTGTCATGTACTCGACCGACCACATCAAAGATGCTCCTGCTCTGCAAAAAGCGATTGCTGAACTCCAACGACCTCAGATGCGCATGTATACAGCGTGAGTCTTGTCTCAAGTCACTACTTAAATCAAGGGCTTGGCTGACAGAAGACCAGCCCTGATATGTATATTGTCTTTCTCTTGTCAAAGACTCATATTTTTCTCGGCATCACGCACAAGGTAGGTGTTGTTGCGCACCTTTCATTCTAATCTAACACGAGAGCCACAGGACGATGGCACGGCTGTGGAATCCTGGTCATCGACCGTGACCCCTGCACAGACGGCAGACGTGATGCCCGACAAGGAGGGCTGGGATCCAGTTCTCATGGAGGCGATTCACAGCACCCCACCCAATACTGTTGTGCGGTGGAAGCTATGTTGCCGTAACACCCAACCAAAATGGCACTCCGAGGGTGGCCATATCATTCAGCTCGGTGATGCAGCCCATAGCTTCATCCCATCATCTGGAAATGGGGCATCTATGGCTCTTGAGGACGCCATGTCGCTTCCCGAGTGCCTAAGACTGGGAGGCAGAGATCACATACCTCTTGCCGTTCGAGCTCACCAGCTTCTCAGGTATGTCGGCAGGCGTTTACATCATGCACGGCCTCCTTTTTAATCAATTTATTCTAGATATGAGCGTACTTCGCTTCTGCAACACAATGGTTTCGTCAACAGGCGTCAGGTCCACCGCGACATGAACGAGATTCTAAAGGATGAAAGGCAGCCCATGCTCCTCGGAAAATGGGTCTGGACTCACCATGCCGAAAAGTATGCCACAGAGAATTTCGGAGAGGCGTGTACGGCAATCAGACTTGGTAAACCATTCAAGAACACCAATTTGCCTGTGGGCCATGAGATTCAACCTTGGAGTATCGAAGAAGAGGAAGAAAAGGAGAAGTCTGGTATTTTCAATGAGGATCTGAAGAATACCGGTGACTGGGGATTGGCGTGAGGCACGAGTGAGGTTTGTGGCCAGTGCAGATACTTGGTCCTTCAGCGCTAATGGATTTGGCGGGTGTTTGAAGGATTATGAAGATAAAAGAAAATCATTTCTAGCGGAAAATTTGCCCTCGGGTTCAGTCCGTTCTCCTAGGCCTACTTTGGTACTCATTCATTTGTTCGATCCGACATTATGCTACAGTTCCAACCCATTATTGACAGATAAGAGAGCTTTCAAAAGGCCGCGTGAGATTCGTTGCGCCCTATTTGTGACCACCTCCCTCCAGGCTAAAACCAAAGACACCAGATCTCTTGCCTTCGTCCCCTTCGCCCCTCTTTCCATCTGCGAACGACGCTAGCTGACTTACGGACCATCCAGTTTCGGCGAGTATTACCCGACACATCGTCGCAGCATCAAGATCTGCGGACCGAAACGACAATACATATCTCACGTCGGACTCTGCGCTAACGAACTAAGATCGCACCTAGTGATACGGTAGTCACTAATGGAAATGCTCGGAAGGTTCCGCAAGCTGAGGATTGGACACTTGCCGTCCGCGCAATCTAATACTTCACGACTATTCGACGCACTGAGACAAAGTGTCAGAATGATCAGTATCAAGGGGGCTAGAATCATGACACATATACGGACGGAACGAAATGCCGCCATGCAGCCACGGAATCTTCCTTTCCAATCAACCACCTTAAGCGGCCCTTCGTGTTCAGCTATGCTATGACGCTAGTTGTGTCCGAAAAGAAAACCTAGGAAGAAAGAAGCAAATATGTTGACAGTCCGCGAGAACAATTCCATCACAATAACCTCGATGCTGCACCCTTAGTCTCTCATAAGTAGGTATACTCAACACTGTGCATGCCGAGTCGAGGTCAAATCATTCGAGGCGCGCCCGCTACTTCTTAAAAGCAGGAGTGCATCTGACATCCAACTGGTGTCTGCCCTACCTAGTTCTGAGGGATGGAACCATGTCTGGACTCGCAGGCTGCCGCTACCCGGAATTCGGGCCACTCGGCAATGCCATCTGGCAAGGCATGTTATCCCTTGATGGGCAATGCACTTGGGCATCGCACCTTTGGATTCCTTAACCACCCCTTCATACCGCCCTTCTTTACCGCCCTTCACAACACCCTCATGCCAAGCTTTTATTGGTGGTCTACTTTTGTGCCTGCAACCACGGCGAACTGTGAAGCATGTACTGGGGGCTTGGACTAGCCCATATCGACTGCCAACTATGGGGCAGCAGTCGAGGGGCTTGGCATCTTGGCCTGAACTATTCCACGGCTGGTAAATCGTACGAAGTTTTGATTGCGTGATATTCTTCCGTGAGATAGATAAATGATGGAGACGTCGTGCACACGAGGCTACGCCGCTCACGTTTTGATGTCCAAACCCTGAGATTAAACCACCGCTGATTCCCTGGGAGCCCGGGAAAATGAACACCCATCTTTTCCCACCCTCCATGGCTGCACAAGTCTCCCAAACGGGGGACTGCTACCTCGAGACTACCACCAGCATCCTACTCGGTATCGTCATAGGCTTGACGATGCTTAATTTTGGAAAGGTGTTGAAACAGACTTCGCACATTTACTCAAAAACCAAGTCGTTTACCAATCTTTACAGCTGGATGTCAGTCAAGCTTTCCTGCGTATGAGCAGCATCACTAAATCTCCAGACAATAACACTCAATAGGATCTGGATTTTACTTCTTGCTAGTCCCACTCAAGCGATTATCGACTGGCTCTTCATTATTGGACACATTGTAAAAAGGTAATGTCTCCTAAACTTCTGTAACCTACTTTTTAATCGTTTGTTAATGAAAACAGCCCCGGGTTCAGCGCTGCGGATATCTTGCTCTGGGTATTTCAAACGCAGCTTACACCTCAAATCATTGCGAACCGACTGGGACTTATCATAACAGATAAGAAGAAAGTCAGGGTCATGAAATGCGCATTGCTTGTGATTATTGGCATAATGAACGCTATTGTCATCTGCATGATATTTCTGATACAAGCGACCTACCCTACGCTGGGTCCACATATCCAAAAATTCTACGCTCCTATCGACAAGGCCTTTGGTCTGCTAACTGATCTCTTACTCAACTTGGCGTTCATATGGAAGGTCCATCATGAACTGATCGCCAACGGTCTGACAAAATATCGATTGTTGTTCAATCTCAACATCGCTGCTATAACACTTTCGCTGTCTATGGATGTAGGTCGCCGCGTATCTTCTTTGTTCAAGTCGTTTCCGAGAACTGCCTTAAGAGCATCGCTGATTCGTCGTACAAAGATCGCCCTGCTTGTCGTTGTGCTTGTTCTACCGAATTCCTTTATTTACACTTGTGTCCATCCGATAGTCTATAGTGTCAAACTTGCCATTGAACTGATGATGGCAGATCTGATAGTCCAGGTCACGCAAGAGCAATATCAAATGCCGGAAATTTAGAGGCCGCTAATTTTGTGAGGTAGCGCGTCACATCGTTGATTTTATTGATAGCGCTCGTTCTACAGCTTTCCCTGGTTACCTCATCGCACTCACTGATCCTAACAATCTTGTTCGGCATTGCAGTCTTGGCGGATTCATTACGGTTATGTGACTCACGATTTTGTGGAAAGTAGTTCTTGTCGACTGACGAGAAAAGATCATTAGTTTATATGATCTTGATGATTGATCCGATATCATTTCATTCGATTTTATTTGATCTGGTCTGAAACATATTAAAGCCTACTCGGTTTCAGCCAAAGAGGGCACGACGTTGCCCGGGCGGATGAGTCAGCCAGCGACACTTGGAGCTGGGCAATCTGTATCATCACTGACTTCTCACCGCCACACAACCAGACAAGATAAGCCTCAAAGGATCTAAAGCTCCTCTTCCATTATGTTCAGACCCTTGCTAAGAAGCTACGTTGGCCTGATCCTGAGGTAACAGTGAGTGGGCTAGGGCTGGCCTGCTGGGTACCTTAATTGTGCCAAACTTAAGTCGAGCATTCATCAAAGTCTAAATCACGATCAGGAGTCTTGACCTCCCCACCATCCTTTACTTGAGTTGAACTTCATTTCTCCAATCTTCTTCAAACTTCCGCAACTCATCTCTCTACCCTTGAAAGGGGCAGTCGATGGTAGCGTAAAACTAGTGTGATCGGTGAGCAGGGCCCCTAGAATAATCTCAAACGCAAGGGTCGGAAGCGTTGGGAAACAGGCATTACGAGCGGGTCTCGAGGTAACCTCCACAACATCGTCCGATCGGACCATCGACCGTCACTAACTAGCAGAGCCCTAGCCGGAGAATACGCGGTCCCCTATGATGCATACGTCCGGAGTCAGGGCTTCTTGAATTCGAAGACGCATCGCAACCAACTTGTATCTTGATGCCAGTAGAAAGTCTCACGTTTAGAAGGGCCTGATAGTGCCGCGAGAATGTATCGTGGCACGCGGAACGCAGTCTGTTCATCTCTTGTCCTCCGTGTAGACTGAAAATGGACTTTGTCCGCAAGCGTGTGCCGACCTTGGAAATACGTTGGTTTCCCTCAAAGGTGGACCGATCTGCCTCCAGCGCCTGCCCAAAGTAGAGACTTAGATCCAGTTCAATCTTTTCTTTCCTGGGACTATGCCAGTACTCTCAGCTCTGGAACTTCTCTACTAGATTATCATGCGTCTCTTCGCGACCGTCGCTCCGGCCATTCTTGATCTGGCGGGCGATCATATCATCGCTGGTGCCCCATCGAATTAGATTAGCCCTGGGTGCTATCGGAGCCCTCTGGTCCGATAACTACCTTATCACTGGAATAGAGATCCAGCTGCATTGATGCTATCAAATGCTTGACGTCCCTGCCGTCAGAGGGCAATTATCTGTAGCCTGGTGCCAAGACCCGGTGGGATCACTTCAAGAGAATGCACATCTATGCCCCAGAGCAGTTGCACTTCAATGTGAGTCAGCCCAATCCGCGTGGCAAATCAGCAGGTAGTTTCAGTATACTGATGTTGGTACAGGGTTCTTTCCTCCCGTAAGAGATAACTCCAAACATACTTCGATCACTTTCTAAATATGTCAATCGCAGCTGGCATCGGTGGATGATGTTTCTCTTCGAATCTGAGCTGAGGAACAGATGCTCTTACCAACACTACCCTACTGGGACTTGAGTCTTGACAATACTGCGGAAAGCTTCGTCAAGTCGCCAATCTTCGACAACATATACGGTTTCGGGGGTAACGGGCCGTATATCGAGGATATCAGTGATGACGAGGAGTTCCCAGTCAAGACCCCCGCGGAAAGTCCGGGAAGGAGTGGAGGAGGATGCATCCAGGAGGGTCCAGTTGCAAATCTCACGGTTCCCATAGGTCTTGGTGCGTTGTGAATTTCCGCAAACCACAAGGCTTCTGCCCCTGCCCGGCATCTGCTGACTTCACATCCTGGCAATAGGGTCCTCCGTTGAATCGCACCCCAATTGCCTGCGTCAAGATTTCAGTCCCACCCTCGTTGCCAGTGCCCTGAGAGACGAAATCATTGACCGTGGGCTCTCTGCGCCGACCTATGGCGAATTCAACTCTCATATTCAGGGCTACAGTTTCGAGTTTGACGGCCTGACTCTCCACGCGGGCATGCATCTTGGCATCGGCGGTGCTGTTGGCAAGGTACGTCTGATCAGACGATGATCCTTTCCCTTTTTACGGCCCTTTTTGGTTCTTTATTTTGCTAGTTGTGAAGTTGTGTGGTCTGAGGAAGCTAATGGCCAGGACCAGAATGCGGACATGTACTCCTCCCCCGGCGATCCACTCTTCTACTTCGTCCACGGTGCACTGGACAAGATCTGGAACGACTGGCAGCGACGAGGTAAGCATCCTTTTCTGCTCACGAACTTGACTTTCGTTTCAGTGCCACTTGTGAACAGACCAAGACACTTGGACAAGCGGCTAGGCGCCCCGTTTTCCCCAGCATAAGAAAACGTTAAAAGGAGTCGTAGGCTCGATCTTGCTAACGATGGTCATAGACTGGCCCGCGCGCAAAACCGCTATCGGTGGCCCGGACACCATGTTCGCGTACCCTTTCAACTTCTTCGGTGACGTGCCGTACGAGAACAACACGTTGCAGTACCTTCTCAAGTACCCCAATTTTGGACAGGTATCCCCATTAGCGACGTGATGGATATCCACGGTGGTCCGTTTTGCTACGAGTATAACTTGTTTGAGCTATCAACTATACCATCTCAGTCTAGTGTGTTACAGCGGCTTCTGCACTCTAGTCGCAGCATCCGATTATACGAATCCGTCGTACAGCGACCAATAGCCGCCCAAGACTGATGAGCTACATCGGCCGCTGTCCTAGTGTGTCGAATCTTGGTTGAGCCGCCGCTGGTCTGGGAGGAGAATCCGTGCACAAGTTGAGGCGCGGGCTATTGCGGTTTAGGGTCTGGCAGACAAAAGACAAAGACAGCCACGGTGGTCGATGTACTCGGATAAAGTTCCACTACTGAATCAACATCGGAGGCATCCCCATTTGTCCTAGCTTGCGATTGCAAGTCGCTTAAGACGGCAATATTGCGGCGACGTTGTCTGGAGAGTTCCCGAGAGTCAATCGAATCCCATACCACTGCTAGATTATGTGTGGGTGAGGGGATGGGGCACTCATTATCACACTCCAATGTAAGCTTAAGTTGCATTACGCACTTCATAGATAACATGTGCTTAGAGAATGCTCAATCCGATGTAGATACATCGCCAAGTAATTCATGAAGGTGAAATGGAACTTTTATTAATCATGGTCTCAATCGACTGCGTGATGGGGACGGGACGAGACGATCATGTGACTCCTGGTCGTCCGCTATCCTCTTGAACCCTTCGGAAAATAGCGACATTTCGCTCGGCTTTGTGTGAAGTCCCCTTGATTCGACCTCAACTTTTGTTGACCTCAACGGGGACTCATTGATACACCATCTCTCATTTACCTCGACTCCTCCATACGTCTTGCTCGGTTTTTGTGGTGATGGAAAGTCGCATAGCTCAGCGGTGGCCTCCTCGTCACGGAGACTGCTGAGACGGCGTATCTCCGATGTAATCTCGATCTCTTTTGTGATAAAGATGTGGCCGATGCTACTCTGTAGGGTGGGCCAGAAGACGGGTAACGAGGCGCAAATCGTCGCCAAGTTGATCTCAACCGCAGCGAGAACGATGGGCACGCAGCCGTACCAGCTGGGATCGAGGGTCGGATAAGTGCCCGCTCTCGAGTGTGAAATGCCGATGAGACGGAAGATTCCAAGAACGTTCACGCTAGCGAAATCGAGTCAGACGGGAAGTGTTCGCTTTGAGATGGAAAGGAATTTTAAGACGTGGAACTTACAGAACACCCATGGTGAACAGACCAAGCAGGCCCAAGCGCGACTTCGTCCGAGTTCCAGCCTCCAGGAACAAGGGAATAGGTATCGCAAATACAATCAGGTCCAGTGCAACATTCATTCCGACGTGGCTTTCAAAGCTTTTCGCAAAGATAATGGGGTCGCGGGAGCCAAATGCCCATCGAGTATCCGTAGTCGATGAAAGGTCCCAAAAGGCCGACACGGGAAGGCAGGGGATCCAGGCAATGAAGGAGTAAGCTACACCCCATAGTGCGGTGATGTAAATGACGATAATGGTAACGATTCGAGACTTCGTGTTGCGTTCAAACATTCGTAGATATTGAAACAGTAAGGCCAATTTGATGAGGGCTGTTGCCATTGGGTATGCGCCGTTGCAGACATAAAAGGCTTTGATGAAATTTTGCATGCCGTTAACTCCAAGTAATAGAAAGTGCTTGCCCAGCCCATAATCCGTGGCTGCAATGAAGAGTTAGAGGACCTTTCTTTCGTAGGTAGGCGCCATAGAATGAAGACACTTACCCACGCACGTTGCTATAGATAAAAGCAGGCTTGTGAGCTGCGGGCAAAATGTTAGACATTGAAAATAATGCGAAACGGTTGCCTGATAGCTACATACCAAAGATAACACAACGAAGAAGTCATCCCATCCCGGACACCGAGCAATAAATAACCGGACATAGAGTCGAAAGGCACCGCATATCCAGGCGACAAGCTGCGGTAAATGGTCAGAAGCTGGAATTATCTGGATGTGGTTCATGAGCATCAAGTACCAGAAAGGAAACGACCATAGCCAGGACCGCAGGTCGTTGGTTGAGAACTGGCACAGGGTCTTTGAGGTTGTCGGCTTTGCCGAGTAATTCAAGTATGGAGCCGCCCATTTTCTACCAGGGTTCTCGAGATCGGGGCCGTTGCCGTTTGCATACTCGGGGGGGGGAGACTTCGAATTCCGTAGGTCGAAGTCCAGCTCGCGGGTAGATTTCGAATCGGAGTTCTCAGCCGTTGGCCAGCAAGAGTCGGCGGATGGTCAAATAAGACAACTCATTCGGGATTAAATGGAGACAACCTAGAGGGGTTGGAAAGGTTGGACAAGAGCGAAGGGGGGAGGGGCAGCAATGATAAATGGTTCCCGAAATCAAGCCCTCCGTCGAGCCGTTCTCGAGATGAACCTGACTGGGGGTGTTTGAGTAGCTCCAGAAAGTGGTGCGCGCAACACCCTGCAGTGCGGTACCTCGAGAAAGCCGTCAGCTCCAGGGCCCCTGCACACGTGGTATGTGCATTCCGGAAACGGGTTCGGACACGGCTAACCAAGTGCCTTTTTGTTGCTGGCGAACTTGTTTCACCTGATGCAGATAGCACTGGCGTTTTGCGTGGACAAAGACGGTCAAGATCGCTCATGGCTGGCATTGGGACGAAGGCCTCAAGGTTCGAGGCTTCCTTGCCACTCACTCTATGTTAAGTCTTGTTCAGTGGACTGCGTAAGTACATGCAGGTTTACATGGTACGAGCTGAGGTGGTCTCGTCCCCGTCGAATCTCTCTCTCTTCCTCTCTAGTTCTTGCTCCTCGCAAATCTCACCCTTGGAATGGAGACTCGATTCAGTTCCCCAACTTTCCCACCCAGATGAGAGAGACTCCACAAGCCGATCAGCCGATCAAAGTGCGAACAGGTCAATAAGAAACGCCCTGGATAATTAAAAATAAATGGCAAACATGCGTAATTTTCGGCCAACCCAAAATTGCTGCTCACAGTGGAAATGTCTTGGTGTTTGCTTCTGCGCCCTCTCTTCTTTTTTCTTCCATACCGCTCACCGTTGCTTCTCTATTCCTTCTGCAGCGTTAGACGTTTTTATTGGAGTGGCCCCGAGCGTGCAGCATGCAGATAGACTTGGACATGTTTGAAATGTCGTGCGTTTTTACCCCATTCCCATTTCTTCCACATCTCCTTTCACAGTCGTATTTCTTCGCTTAGACGATAAAGTGACAAGCAAACACTCATCACATCATCATAAATCACAAAGGGGTTGTGCGGACGGACTCCTTGGCTATTCCTGGAAGGCAAATGCAACATGAACAGCCATCGTCCCGTCTTTCATCGCAGAGGCGCAACTTGTCGGGGACTTCGCCTACCGACTGGCCTTCCTTTCTTGGATTTCTGCCATTTTTTGAGGGGTGGGAAACAGATGAAGGGACGAACAACACACACAAGACACCAGTCTTGTTCGTTGCATCGGCTCCCCTGCAGGACCACCATGTCCAAACGAGGGGAATTGGCGTATCAGCATCGGGCAAGTCGAGCCTGGAGGGTTCGCTCGGACAGCCGCGGCGTCGGACCGTCTGTGGCCAAGGCAGTCCGGGGTCTTTCTAAGAGCCCTCCGTTCAGGATCTACGGCTAGCTTGAGTGGAGATCGCTGGATCAGTGACGATTGTCTCTGTGCTTACTCTTCAATCGCATCCGGACCATGTTTCTTTATTACCTACCTACCGGCTTCCCGGACTTGCCTTTTTCTTTTACTGCCGGCCCAAATGGTCCTAGAAGGCTTTCGCTACGTCGATGGACAAGACTCCCTTGGTGAGACATGCTGAGGGGCCGCGGGATGATCGACATCCATTGGTAGATCTGGCCAGACCAGAGAGCTTTGGCCACCGGAATAAGCAAGCTGTGCAACGCTGGCACTGAGCTGGCGAACTTGGCCTGGGGATTATCGATAATTAAGCGTCGTATCAAAAGTTTGGGCGCTGTCACGATTGATTTCCCACTCATGGTAAGTCGGCTCTCACTTGGTCAACTACTATTGCATGAAACAATCACCGGCTGCTCATAGCAAAGAAAACTCATGGCAACTCAATCTACATCTGCTAATTCTGACCTCTGCCACGGAGAAGATGCCAGTTCTAGCTAAGCATGCCGCTTCAATTCAGCCAGCTCGCTTCCGCATGGCCTCTGCGCAAGCCACCGTAGTCCTCCGGCACCGTTGACTTGGGTCCAGCGATAACTTTAGCGATATACCTAGAGAGCTGGTTCGATTCCAACAATCTGGAATTCCTCCGAGTCAGATGCAGTTTAACTCGTCTGACAGTGAGTCCATTTTGGGCAGGGATTCAGCCACATCTTCTTTGAGAAATCGAGATTATCGTGCGTCGGGAGGCAGCATAGACTTCCTCTGAGAACGGTTTGGCATCGGGAAGCGCCCCGTGAATTGTTTACAAGAAGACGCATGAGTCGAACTGGGTTCACCAATACATCGAATGAGTTTATGGTTAGACTTCGATGATCGATCATGTTGGCGTAGCTCAGCCTTGGCCGGTGCCACTTCCTGCCTCTGCGAGCGTGATGTCCTGGCGCCGGCACTCCATATGACAGGCAAAAGCCACCGAAATCATCCCTGAAAAGCGCCTCATAACCTTCAGATTCTCGTTAATGGAGTCGGAACATCTCAAATGTTTCAAGCACAGAAGATCACGTTTGTGTGGATGGAATGGTGCATAAAGCCATGCCGACGGGATGCCTTCAACACAACTGATGAACATTGAAGCCAGTAATAGCCTATTTAATAACGATAATTACTGTCTTCACTATTCATCGAGTCCTTGGGCTCAGAATCACAGCCGCATCCGGCTGTTGCCAGCATATTGTCTCGTTTCATGATGTCTCTCACAACAACGAATACACATGTCAACAGCAAGCCACCACCCAGATGCCTTTGCCTCACGGACTCCGACTGCCACGCGACGTTCAGGTCATCAGGCTATCCTGACAGCACCACAAGCCAGCCTCACCAGAGACTATGGCAT